AAGGAGTCATTGCAAGGAGTCATTGCAAGGAGTCATTGCAAGGAGTCATGGCAAGGAGTCATTGCAAGGAGTCATGGCAAGGAGTCATGGCAAGGAGTCATTGCAAGGAGTCATTGCAAGGAGTCATTGCAAGGAGTCAAGTGCAAGGAGTCATGGCAAGGAGTCATTGCCAGGAGTCATTGCAAGGAGTCATTGAAGGGGGTCATTGCAAGGAGTCATTGCAAGGAAAATCAACCCTCTGCGGGGATCGGCGTGGTCGAGGTGCAAAATCCCATGCGCGACCCTCTGCGGGGATCGGCGTTGCAAAAACCCATGGTTTTTTGCGATTTCTAAAGTTCCCGCGCGACCCTCTGCGGGCATCGGCGTGGTCGAGGTGCAAAAACTCATGGTTTTTTGCGATTTCTAAAGTTTCCGCGCGACCCTCTGCGGGGATCGGCGTGGTCGAGGTGCAAAAACTCGAGGTTTTTTGCGATTTCTGCGGTGCTCGCGCGACCCTCTGCGGGGATCGGCGTGGTCGAGGTGCAAAAACCCATGTTTTTTTTGCGATTTCTGCGGTGCTCGCGCGACCCTCTGCGGGGCTGCGGGGATCGGCGTGGTCGAGGTGCAAAAACTCGAGGATTTTTGCGAGTTTTGTTGTTCGAACTGGTCCTCGGGAGTTGTCTCGTGGTTCGCGCGCCTGCTCCCGGAACCGGCGGGTCGCGGGTTCGATTCCTCCCTGGTCCGCGGGCGGGCGTCGCAAGATGCAACTTGCATTTTAAAGCAACTTGCTTGCGCAGAGCAAGTTGCACAGAGCAACTTGCGCAGACCAACTTGCACCGACCAGTTTGCGCAGAGCGCCTTGCCTAGAGCAACTTGCGCAGAGCAACTTGCGCAGAGCAACTTACGCAGAGCAACTTGCACAGAGCAACTTGCACAGAGCACCTTGCCTGGTGCTGTCTCGCGCTTGCTTCACGAATGCTTCGTGTAGGGAAAAAGAACGCATCCTGCAGCGTTGGGCCGACCTCGCTTGCGATGTTCTGCTTTCGGGCCAACCGTGGTCTAGTTTTTTTTTTGGGGGGGGGGCCCGAGTTGGGGAATTTGGTTGTGTGGTATTCTTTTCACTTGTTGGGGGGCCCCCCACTTTTGGGGCGATGTTTGGACACATGCCCCCTAAAAGACAGAAGCACTGAAGCAACATCCAGCAGTGAAGATGTGATGTCCCATGTTTTTCTTGGCTGTCAAAAAAGGTTCGGTACCCAAAAAGAAACCCTGGTAAATGGGGTCCATGTTCTGGCTGAACAAATTCACCCATCACTTTGCCTCGTCTAAACCGTACAGTCCCGATATCGTCCTTCCCGCGCCTCGTGAGGAAAGCGGCCTCGCACTCGGCGAAGAAGGGGCTCTTGCAGAGCTTTTCCTCGGGCAAGCGGCAACGAGGTGAGCGTCCTGGGTATCGTGGGACGAGGTTCTACTTTTTGACTAGCCGTCTCCATGACCCTTAAAACATGGGGTCATTACCCAAAATAAAGGGGTCATGTACCCATGTTTAAAGGGTCATGGAGACTCCAGGTAGACTTAAACGTAGGGGTGGTTCATTCCCCCCAAAGTCCATCTTGGGGTGGTCAAATGGTCAAACCCCGTGTAAGTGATGTCCACCAAAGGGTCCCCAATTCAGATTCACACAACTTCAGATTAACTGATGGAGCACGGTACTAAGCAGTGGTTCTTTTAAGTCGTCATTGTTTGATGTTCTTCTAGGGGATTTCTTGGTACGGCTGGGTGCTGAACATGAATCCCATTCAGCTCGTATCGCAGGAGTAGCGTGCCCTCTTCGTATTGAGATCGACATCTACAGACCCATGGCCCATCAAGATGGCCCATGTATGCCAAAATGAGGCAGAGCGAAACCTGCTGGCAAACTGAGCCAAAGAATCCAACAACGCGCAGAGGTTGCAGACCAACAGCCCCAGTACCCGACCATTGGCTTGTGGAACGTGACACGTGAACTCGCGGGCGGTTGATCCAAAAACAATGGCACAAGGTACTTTGGTCCCGAAGAGGAAACCAAAGCAAACCAAAACAAACCAAGGTAACCAAAGGGAACAAAAGAAAACCAGACCAACTTTCTAGCTGTAGCGCTTTACTCATCTTTTAAAGGCCAAAGGAGCAATCTGATGGCAACTCTCAAACGGTGATCGCACTTAACCCGCGTTTGGAAGCCAAGTTCAAGGGAGTTTCTGGTTGTTGGGGTGATGTTTAAATGGAGACCGCAAAAAATCGGGGCGGGGGTTGTCAAAAATGCGGCCCCTTGTTTGTCAACCTGCCAAAAAGGGCCCCCAAATTGCCAACCCCCGCCACCCCCCCTGACCTTCGAGCGATGAGTGCTGCTCTGTGGCAATGGAAGGGGTGCTAGTTTTAATAGGTTCCAACGCACTCAGACGTCTTTGTTCGATCCTGACAAACGCATGAAGAGGTCGTGCGCCCAAAATGATATGATTCATCAGAACTTTATCCTTGAACCCTTATCAAACTATTTCAACAGAAATTTCAAGAAACCCATTGCCATTTTGGGGGCACATCCTATTTGGAGAATCACCCATTCAAGAAGCGAAAGGTCCAGAACTTCCCAAAGGCAAACACCTATTCAAAAATGCCCCCCCCCTTGTGCCTTTGCCGGACACCCATCAAACGGGTTAAACCAAAAAAAAAAAAACGGCTGCCGGCGCTGGCTCCGAGGCGCGTGGCTCAGGGTGCCGGCCGTCACCGAGGTCGAGGCCAGGAACCGCGACATGAAGGCACAAGGCGCGCGGCGAAACGAAACGGGAAGGTGGGTGGCTTCAGGGCTGGTCGGATGGTGTCACATGGGGCTTCATGGGTGGGATGTTATGGCTTCTTCACATAGGGCTTCAGATGGTGGCTTCAATTGGGGCATAGGTGGTAGGTTGGTTTCTTCACATGGGGCTGGACCAGGTGGTCGGATGGTGTCTTCAAGTGGGGCTTCATCCATGGGTAGGTACTTTAGGTGAATCCAAAGGATAGGGCTTCATCCCTAGGTGGTATGTAGGTAGTCTAGCTCTTCCCAAAGGATAAGGCTTCATCCATCCCGACTGGTGCAGCTTTAGAAGGTATCTGCCCATCAAACTGACCACCGTAGGCCTTCTAGAGTAGACTGGCCAAACTAGAATGGAGCTTCCGGCGTACTTCGCCAACTACATGCTCTAGCCTTTGTCATCCAGTGTCTCTTTTAAGTGTGGGAAACCTTAAGCCTTTCTGGCAATGGTTTCAGGGGAAAGAACGCCAAACAAAAACAAAACACTTCGAGCGGAAAGCTCTTTAAGAGTCGTGTCGGCCCAATCTGATTCAGTGCCCTGAACCCAGAAACCGCCGCCACGCAATCGCTGCCCGTGCTCCCCGGATATGATTTGCCCCCTCGCAAAACCCATCGGCTGCCATGGCTGCGGACATCACTGACCTGGGGATCTATGTCCACCAGCCACTTTTGAGGGGGTTCCGCATTCAAATTCCCTGTCGGGTCCCAACTTGCCTGCTATTTCCCATGAATCCCAAGTAGAACCACAAAGCAGGGGGCGCTCTATTTCTCGTACTGTATTTTTTTGAGGGTATCCTAGGGTCTTCTTCCGAAAGAGAAAGCCACCCAACAGGGTGAAGTCACCTCGCCGCCATTGGCACATCCCAAGGGCGGAAAACAGTCTGATGCCACCGGAGGTGGCTGCTTGAAGGAGGTGCAGCTAAGAAAAAAAACAGTTGCACGCTTTCCACACTTCTTCAGTTGGGTTCTTTAAACTTTACATGGGATGACACTAAAATGATGTTTCCCACTAAATGGGAGAACTTACCCATTTGGGGGACAGGAAAATTGATCAACCCCCAGTTGTCAGATGCTAAATGCTTGATCAGGTCAATTTTCCGCAATCTCGACGTGGCCTTTGGTCCTAACATTGTCCAACCCTGGAACATTGCCATGAGGGTCTGTCTTTTCTTAAGAGACCCCCCCTTCTAGTGTTCCTTTGAATCCACCAAACAGGAGTACCCTCAGAAAAAGACACAGCCATCGATCACAATTTTGTCCACCCATAAGCCTGACCATCCAACGCCGCTAGCCTCTCAAGCGAAAAAGCTAGATTTGCTATCGCGTAGTCGACTTCCCAGCCTGGTCAACACACTTGCTTCGGTCAGGGTTGCGAGGAAAAAGTCCCTTTAAGAAACCGGCTCGAAGTCATCAACTTTGGCCACCGGCTCTCTACATGACTTCCAAGTTCCTCAGGGCAACTGTCTGGCATTCTTGCTCCTATGATCATAACTTCATGTTGGTCTCGAGGTACCCCACAAGCCCATTGAACTTCTTTCGGCCCTGATGGAAGCACCCAACTGCTAGGTCTTCTTTTTTCTCCCTACATTCCTCCGGGGTTTCATCCACCCCAACCCCTTCATTTGTTTTGTTTTCCCCTAATGTAAACCCCGTATTAGTCTGTAACCCCCCCCCCTTGAAGGTTGGAAGGTTTTGGGGGGGCAAGATTTTGGAAGGTTGTTTGCCTTGACCCCCTAAATAATCTGGAATTGAGTTTCCATTCGATTTAGTGTTGCTGGGGCTTCCTTTTGAGATCTGGAATTGAGTTTCCATTTGATTTAGTATTGCTGGGGCTTCCTTTTGAGATCTGGAATTGAGTTTTCATTTGATTTAGTATTGCTGGGGCTTCCTTTCTAAGAAATGAGCTCAAGAAGCAGTGGAGAAAATGAGATAGCAGCAGCCATCTGGGGGAGGGACCGGTCTAATTGGGGGGGGTTGTTTTGGAACCCTTTTTTATTTAGGGGGGTTTTTCTGAGATATGAATTGTTTAGTATTGGGGGGGTTCACCCGGACCGGACTAATAGGGGGGATATCTAATACAGGGTTAACATTACATTCCTGAGATTTCATCCCCCCAAAACTTCTCGTTTTTGCTCATTTCCCGCATTCTTTCCCCGTTGAGCCGCCCGCCCCTTCGACGCCCGGCGCCAGCTTTTCCTTCGACCACTGGACTGCGCTCTGCTGCACCGAGGCCTGGCGGGGCTGGGCACGGCTCCGTGCAACCACCCAAACGGCACGGCGAGCAAGCGAAAACGGGCGCTCCCCGGAAAAAATATATATAGAAAAATGGGAAGCCGAACAAAACCCGGGGCTGTTTTCGCAAACCCCTGAAACTCAAAAAATGGAGAGAACCAACCAAAAGCGCCAAAAAAACTGCCCAAGGACGAAGTGAAGAAATGATGAAATGTCAGGTCGGCTCGCTAAAAGGGGCAGCTGAGAAGCAAAGAGCCAGAATTCACCACCTCCAAGTGCCCTTTGATTCTTGCTCCAAAGGTGCCAACCTGCCCAGCCATATTGACAGGTTTCAGAGGGGAAGCACAAGGCCACTGGGCGCCTATTTTGGCAGTCCACTTCCTCATGTTGAGTCGGATGTGATTCCAACCTTCTGATGCAGGAAGCGCTTTGTTTCTCCCTTGAACATCAGCCTCCAACACGGCCTGTCTTGACCACAAAAGAAACCTTAGGGATGCCAAACGCGGGTGAAATCCGTGGGGCATCCAACCAGTGTCTCCTGCATCTGAGTAGGGGTCGACCAGCGCTTCTTTCTGGTTCTCTTGATGATGGTGTGAATGTTCAACTCAGGGGCAAGATTGGACACCTGATACCAACATGCCCATCCCTCTGAGGACTATACGTTGAAAACCTTGAAGGGGAGTTCCTTGATACAGAAAGCAGTGTCCCCAGCGCTGGTTTTTTGCACATTCCTGCTGTATGATGGTTTCAGGGCTGGGACACTGCGCAGACCGCAAGCAGCCAACACATTGATGCATTGTGACCCCTGTCACTTGAGCAGAGAACCTTCTTATTGTCCACTAGCTACAAAACTCAAAAAACTTCGGGAAAAAACAAAAAACAAAAAAAACAAAGCCCCTGGCAAAAGGTTTCCAGCCTGGCACTTGAACATTTCCCTGGGGGCTTTGGTTTTTTGTTTTTTTGGTTTTCCCGAGGTTTTTTGAGTTTTTCTTGCTTTTGTAGTTTTTCTCGAGGTTTTTTGTTTTTCTCGTTTTCCTTGAGTTTCTGTAGGTTGGACCGCCCTCACGCATTCTTGCTGCTTTTATACCGCAGACTCGCAAACAGCTTTCCTTCGTCTCATCTGCTTGCGCACGCCTCAAACTGTTGGAGTATGTCTCCCTGGGCTCACCGTGCCACTCTGCGCATACTCCGGGCGGGCATTCTGAGCTGACCTTCTTCTGGATGTGCTCACTTTTTGGCGGCAGCGGCCGGACGCTTGAGAGTCGAGGATGAGGAAGCGGGGCGTTTGCGAGTGCTGGCGGTGCTCCTGCGGGATCCGATGGCCGGCATGGATTGAAGGTTGTTGTTCCAAAAATGGATGGACTCCTGCACCCAGAACCTGTGACTGTACGCGTTCATGCCATTCAGGACGAAGTTCTTCCTGCGAATCCAGGAGTTGAACACCTCCGACATGTTTGTCCGCACATTCTTGAAGCGAGACTTCTCCGCAGACGTCAAGGTCTTCTTCGTGCACTTGTGGTTACCGCGGTGGAACTCGTCCACTACGTAGTACCGAATGCCCTTGAACATGTTCTTCAAGTTCTTGCGTCTGGTGATGTAGTCCTGGAAATGGCACGCGTCATCATGGATGAGGGCATCTACTTTGACCTTGGACAGCGACATAGCCTCCTGCACCACTTCAACCTTGTCCTGGTTGCACTCGTTCACAATGTGCTCTTTGTCTGCCATCTCAGCTGCTGGTTCTCGCTGGATGAGCGGGGCCCATGCTTGAGAATGAAGTCGAAGCCGTGGTCGATCTCGTCATCCTCCTTGTCTTCAAAGCGGATGACAGTCTTGGCTCGCTTCACCAGTGTCTGCGAACTGAGCTCGAAGCACCTGAACGCATGCCCCCCCATGTTCTCAAAGCAGTACTGCAGGATTTTGCGGCCAGCTTTTGGAACGGGCATCATGTACTTCGCCTTGTGCCCCTGGCCATACACCATCTTCTGAAACAAGCATGGCTTGACCTTGTCTGGGAAGGTGAAGTGCTTCAAGACGGCCTTCTTGCCATCGAGGCGGGTCGTGATGACGAATTGCAACTTGGTGTTTGCCGGCACACACTCCCGCGAGCCAAACGGGGGGGGGGCATCAGCTGCAAGTCACTCTTTTCGCAGGCTTGCTTGTAGAGACGGCCCAACTCACTAATGTTCACTTCACCCTCGAGGTCAGCGATGAGGTCGAAGCAATGCACCAGGGGGTTGTCAGTGCTCGAGATCTCTTCCATGGGAAAGGTGACGATATTGAAGGTGCCTAGCGGTTGCTCCGCCGTGGTCACCGCGTCGCACGGGCGACAAATCAGCCCGTCGACAACCTCTTTAAGGTGTTCGAAGGTCATATCCTCGGCCTGCATGGCTACCTAGTGAAGTTTCAGCCAAGGGCTGAGTACTGGGAATTGCTACTTGCTGAAATCTGCAGAAGTAAACGCGCGGATGCGTTGATGACTGTTTAGGCTGCATTTGCACACATAAGACCACATCACATTAGACACATTGCCGTCAAGCCATCCACCAAGCCTTCCTTCCCACAGAGTCCGTTTAGAGATACCTGTGTCCCCAGAAAGTGTTTTCCGAGCGTTTTTCCTTTATTTTGGCATATTGGGAAAACAGTGGTTTTATATGGAAAACACACGCGCTGGGGACACTGCCCTCTCCCTTGATAATGTTGACCCCCGAGTAGTCGCCCTAGTGGATTGATACAGTCGTGTTTCTCCGAAAGCGAAGAGTTCCCTCTTAAAAGGGGACACCCCAAAAGATCGTCCACCCATTGGGGTACCTCCCCCATTCTTTCTAGGGATCCTTTCTAGAAAACCTCCAGAAACCCTGGGGAAATCGCTGGCTTTCGAAAAGAACGATGGTTGAAAATAATGGTTGGATGCAACCCCTAGAATCCTCGGCTTCCCTTCGCGCAACGACCATCCCCAAACTAACACCGGCGCAAAAAAATGCGCCTCAGGAGTGGAAGACGATCTCGTCCTGACGAAAGTCCGATCGAGCGGCCAACTCAGGGCGGTTCCCTATATGGCTGTGGGTCAAAACCAATGGGATCCCATTTTTGGTTGGTAGGTGAATTCACCACCCATTTTAGAACCTATTTTAGCGGGGATTGAATCGGATGTTCACTGGGGGTGCGATTTGGCCTTCGAACCCATGGCCAAACAAAACCCTTTCAACATCACCCCACCGAAAGGAAGCGCTGGTCTTTCATGGCCAAAAAGGTGAGGTTTAAAAAGCCACATAAAGGTTGCTTTATCTACCTAGAGTCTCCATGACCCTTAAAAAAAATGGGGGGGTCGTTACCCAAAATAAAGGGGTACCCAGTTTGTTTAAAGGGTCATGGAGACTGCAGGTATACCATTCACCTTCGTGGCAGCGCATTCTCGTGAAAGTGCCATCTCATCAACGCGACGGCAAGCGCACGCTGCAGGAACCTTGGCAACCCTCTCAAAGCGCTGCGTGGACAACCGGCCCACAAGGTTCATGATGGATCTTTAATCTTGAGCTGGGCGGAGCGTGCCATTCGCGTCAGAAAGTGGATGGCGCAACTCACAGAATATGGAACATCTACATAACCCAGCGAATCATGACTTCAGATTAGCAAAGCAACATCAAAATTCACTTGAGTCGCGCATTGGCTAAGGAGATTCTGCTATTTATGCGGCACAAGTGTCCGCAGGGAGTCGCCAGTGAGAACATATTGATGGCCAGAACCAGTGGGTTTCCCTCAGCCCAAAACGGCATCTATGAAACTCCGGCCCATGGTGAACCGATAGGTTGAAGCAAGATTCCATGGCTCCATGGGATCTTCAAACCGGCTCGGAAACAAAGGACAGCAAGTTCATCTTGCAAGAATAACCCGAGCACGCACCATCCCCTACTAAAAGTAAGCAACTTTGGCTATGGACACCCAACCACTAAACCAGCTAAAAAGCTAGCTAAAGTTGCTCAAATGTTGAGAGGCAGAAAAGATCTAAAGTTGCTAAAGACATTTAAGTGTCTAAGATCTAAAAAGCGAAAAGGAATCAAATGGATGGCCGTTTTTTCAGCCAAGGAAAGGATCCCAAAGTCCTTTTCCCAAGCTCAACTTCGGCCCGGGGAGAGCGAAGCGTATATCTGCCGATGTCCAGGCGAGCTCACCGCGGGTTTGGGAAAACCAGCTGGTAAAGAGCCGTTACTTGGGGATTTCCCTTTGTTTCAGGTTGAATTATAGTACAAATTCGCAGACTAGGTCCTCCAGTAGAGAGGTTAGAATAAGGGTACCATTTTTGTTCTGTCGTCTATTTTAGTAGTTGGCAAAAAGGGCACTACTGGGGGACCTTTGTAGATATATACTGCCAGTGGCAGCAAGCATTCGCTGTGCCAGACGTAGCCTGCCCAAAGTCTGAGACGAGTGTTGGTTTCTGGCGGGGCGCAGTTGGCACTACAGGCCATGCGTAGCCACCATGGAAGCATGTTCCGGGGGTCGGACAACCGCCAGTGCTGCTGCTGAGAAGGAACGGGACACCCCCTGCCATTCTACTCCAAGATCTTTCTCTCAACCTCACTTCCTGAGTGGATTGATCAGACAAAGCCACCAAACTTCGAATTCACCACCTAGGTCCGCCAGTAGAGAGGTTAAAATAAGGGTACCAACATTTTTTCCTGTAGTCTATTTTACGGGGAACCCTCCCCAACAAAAGGGCAAAAGGGCACTACTGAAAACCCTAGCCACTAAAATGATCCAACCCCAAAAAGGCAGGAAGTCCAGGAAATACTGTGGATGGTTACGAAATCCACTTCGCACCACTTCGAGAAACCATGGTTGAAACCATCATTTGTGGGTATTTACAGGACAATCGAATCAGAAACCGTTGGGTTTCTGAAGTGGTGCGAAATGGATTCCGCCACCGTCCCCAGTAGGACGTGAGCCACAAAATTGGCCCCAACCGGGGAACCTCCAGGCTCTCGTTGACGCCCACTGCCGGCCTCCGCGGCACCGATCGCCTGGAACTCGATGTTGCGGCCGCCCTTGGGGCCTCCAGACCAAAAGCCCGGGGAGCCGGGCGTCCCCAAAAGTCCAAGCAGTCAAAGCCCATTCTTACCCCTTAAAACTCCAAGCAACCTGGGGAAGTTCTCATCTGTTACAGACATTGTTTGCCAATGTTACCCAGAAAGTTACGAAAAGTTGTGTTTTTGTTAAGAGGTAAGCATTGTTTTAGTGGTGGCTTGAACTCGGTTGAAGCCCCCAGAATAAAACCCCGGTAATTACTGCGATAATGGGATGCCTTTATCAGCGAGCCCAACAAAACAAACACTTCCACGCCTCTCCGTCCGCCTTGGAAGAGCATCTGCTTCTCCTGTCAACATGGGTGTGGCTCAAAAATGGGGTAACCTCAAAATGGAATCCTGGAAAAAAGAGAAAGTGGACTAAACCTGCGTAACCCCAGGTGTTTAATTCTGAGCAAAACCCAAATGGCGACATTCGGATTTTTTTAGGTTCTTTGAAGGAGATCCCGGTCAAAATTCCTGAACGATTTGTGGCATGCATCTGGCAAATATCACCTCTACAAGGGGGTCCTCCAACCAATTGGTAAAAGTGATTTCTTTGACTGGCCCGAATGCATCAACTGACCCCGTTTTGACTCCCTTCTTGTAACAGACCAGGATCACAAGCCGGCCTCCGATTAAAATCGGAGACCCCGAGTTGTCGTGGAATTTCACCACGGCACATAGGGAGCTGAGCAAAAAGGCGCTTCTTTTCTGCAGCAGTGATTCTGTTTTTTAAGCAGGCCTTGAAAGCCCTGCTGAGGGTGACGTTCTCTTCGTCTGTAAACGCTCAGCGACCCAAAGGCCAAGTAGTAAGATGGGACATCACTCCTACTCACCAAATACATTTGGATCTGAGGCAGACAGGTCCTGTTGACATCACTCCTCCTTGCCCCAAGTGATAGGCCCCATGGCCCGGTCCAGACTTAGACCTCCTGCCAAAAGCTAAGATATCGAAAATATCTTCCGGTGGAAAGGGAAAATGAAGGAAAGCCAGAGAGGCGAAGACATAGACGAGTATGCTAGGCGAGTTTCGTCTGGCAATGACGATGACAGTGCCAAGAGCGCACAAAGTGGCGACCAACTTGCTGCTTATGAGGAAATCACCCCTATAAACCATCCCCTATGGTTTTCTTTAAGGGAATCCGTAGGTTCATTCCAAACACCCTCAAGGTGTTATTGTTGAAACTATGGTTGAAACCACACTATTGGTTAAAACCACTATGGTTGAAACCATGGTTGAAACCACGACATGAAACTATGGTATTTCTCGGGAAATCGGTTCTCATTCCGTTGGGCTTCTGAACGCTGCGATTTTTTTCGGGATTTCGCGTCACCACCCCATGCACGGTGGCATTCGGTCGGTGTCCCTGGAGTTTCCTGCCCAGCTTGGGGTGTGTCTCAAGAGCATAGGTGTCCTTTTAGGGAAAATAGATGGCCCTGGTAGATGATTAAACCACCAGGTACACCAGGCCATCTATTGTTCTATCAAAACAACCAAAAAGGACACCTATGCTCAAGAGCCATGAGTGTGTTGTGCGTCCTGATGGTTGCTGCTGCAGAAGAGGCACACCATGCACACCACCAAGCCGATCCTCGGCTCGGCGCTTCTGACAGGGAGGGGAGTCCCAAGTTCCCTCTCAAGGAAGGTGTCGCATACCTCCACTTGAGTCATAATCAAAACCCGGTAGTAAAATGATCTACCCAGAACCATGTAAAGAATTATGAGGGCGGCCGCAGCTATTTATGGTTGGGATTATCTCTGACAAACCTTCATCTACCCGGGTTTTGATTGTGGCTCACTTGCTGGTGCGATAGGCAGGGAATGAGGGAATGGCATCCAACTGGTGGTTTCTTCAAGGGGACCCCAACAGGTTCATTCCCTCGTTCCCGACTGAGCACCATCAAGTCTAAGAGACCTGCGCGAAAAAAAAAAAAAAAAAAAAAAAAAAAGGGAAAAAAAACACGCACAAAACAAAACAAAACACAACCTCTTGCTCCGGCGGTTAAGCAAAGGGATACGGGAAAAAACAAGAAACACACAACTTTCATGTCGGCACGAAATGTCGCGAGGGAGAACGAAAGCAACTCATCTCGCCAACCTCTTGTAGAACACCCGCGGAAGCTTGTCCCAAGTGGTGACCTCTCAAGAAAAAGTCAGACGAGCCGATTTGAACAGGAGCTCGCCGGGAAGAGGGGTATCGCAAAGACCCCAAACCTCCAAAAGCAGCTTTGTTCCATATCTTGTCAAACTTAACATGTAAGGTCATTTCAAGCGAGATCCCACTTGTGGGATTCGGGTCATGTATCGCGTCGAGTTCGAAACGATGGAATGTGCGCAGACGGACACATCCAAAAGCACCAGCTCTAAACCCTAGGTCCTCCAGTAGAGAGGTTAGAATAAGGGTACCCTTTTTAGTAGGGGAACCCTCCCCAAAAAGGATGTACATGGGCACGGTATACTGGGGGACCTGGAACCAGTTGCTAAAAGCGTCTCTTTGCCTGGCCGAGCCCGCAAACAAATCTTTGAGGACTCGCTAAGAGTCGTAACTCACATGCCTTCCAACGGACCCCGAGGCCGTAGTTTCGTCGCCGACCTGAAAAACCGTCACCAACATCCCTCGGGCTGCTTTCTGCTCCCCTGCCAAAAGTGAAAATAACTTTTGGTGGTTCAAGACGGAAAACCTTCTGCTCCTAACTTTTAGTGGTTCAAGACGGAAAACCATGAAAAACCATTAGTTGGATCGAAAAGTTAAAGTCCCAACATCCCTTGGCAAAATGCACCAAAGCTTCATTGGGCCTGGTTTGGTTTCGATTTTGTGATGGACTGAATAGGAAGTGGAATCTGAACTCCCTTTTGGACCAAAGCTCCGGTGCTCCAAAAGTCTCCGAAAGCTATGGGGCCAGGAGTCCACGCGTGGACTCTTTGACCTCTTCCGCAAATTGCTTGGTCGACGTTGGAAGGGGATGCAACATCTTCTGAATTTTGACAATTCAGTGCTTGGATTTCCTTCCACTAAATCACAATAAGCAAAAATGAGGAAAACATGACCTTTTCCACAAGCGCCGCGGAAGGGGTGTATCTGGTGAACTATATAAAGGGAAACTGAAAGAAGACCAAACGAAAAACAGTTCCAATTGAATGCAAAAAACAAATACACCAGCCATTTTCAAGCGTTCCTTTCTCGTTTTGAGACACAAGAATCACCTCTTCCCCCATCGCATTTCGTTTTCGATTTCTGAAACGCTTTCCAGCTGCAGGCCGCACACCAAGAATGCGAAGGTCATGGCCTGCGGTCGAGCGGAGCTCGTCCGGGTCGCGGGTCCCGGTGGGTTCTCGGCTTCCTCTTGGTTGGGTGGTTTCTTGGTTGACGTTGGAAGGACAGCAAACAGTCAAATTTTAGCAGTGAAGTGGTTGGATTTCAACCACTAAACCACGATAAGCAAAAAGGCAAAATGTTTCCCGTCAACAACCATGGTTTGGTGGTTTGGTGGCTTGGTCACGGACAAGTTTCCCCATTTTCCCACCTGAAAGGGCTCAAATCCCAATCCAAGCAATGCAAACCATTGGTTGCCTCTCAAGGCAACCCGACCGAAGTTCAAACTCCGATCCAAGCCACCAGTCAAAGGGTCGCCGAACGCCCCAAGGATTTGCAGACGATGGGCCCGAGGACAGGCTTTTGACCACGGAAAAATCCGCCCAAAAACGCGTGGCTTCCTCCAGTTGTCAGGGCGCGCGTTTTGAGGGCCCGGCGGAGGCCTATGATTTGCTGCTGGCGGGTTGGGCGGTTTACACACGTCAGTCCCAGGATTCTCGCAAGGGTTTCTCATGCTTCATCCATCCCAGCTGATGCGAACGGATCTCGCAACCATCCACAGTATGACATTGAAAGTTCCCTGAGCCACCCGGCCTTCAAGCAAAACCAAGTGTACAAATCAAATCAAGCCTAATTGGGAAGGGCAGCTTGTAGCGTCATCCCATGGTTGAGATTGTTTTTGCGAGCCCCGGCTTTTTGCCAAACAGGTTGGCTGGGGAACCCTTGCTTCACTCGCAGGCTGGGGTCAATGGTTAGCCCGCGTCCCTGGGACCCCCCCACCTCGCTCGGACCTGGGGCTGCCTATTGGTTTTGGCCTGGTCTCAGGTGAGTTTTGGGGCTTGCTGAGATCTGAGTGGGAGCGGGCCTTCGGATTGGTTGGGGTTCATCTTGGCTTGGCAAAGGGCTGATATCCAGGATGGGTTTGGGCTGGCTTGGTGGGGATGTGGCTGCGTGCCGTATAAAAATAAGCTTGGGGGCTTCAGTGTGCCCCCCAAAATGGCGGCTGTCCTTTTGGTTTCTCTTTTAAAACCACAACAAACGGCTACTCCCTTGACTCCCCCCTCCCCTTTTTCCGAAACCAAAAACATTTTCCTGTTGGTCTCCCTGTTGGCTTCTGCCTCTTACTTACCCCTTAAAACTCCAAGCCCTGGGGAAGTTAATCTTTTACAGACATATAGCCCATGTTACCCAAAAAGTTGTAAAGTTGTTTTTTAAGAGGTAAGCTTACCACCCTGAGATGGACGCCAAGTACCCAAAAAGCGGCCTGGCCCAGCCTGGGGCGCCGTGAGGGCCTTGCCCACCTTCGCCTTGGGCTCAGCGCAGCGCCTGAGACTTCAAGCGAAAAAGTGACCCTGATCACTGGACCCTTCAGGCGGGGGGGGGGGCCAGGTTGGAGGGGGTCTATGGGGCGATTTTGGGCCGATTTGGGGGTGGACAACTCAAGCAAACCATGCCTCATCAACCCGAACAAGGCAAGGGACACAAGCCTACGCCTAGGAGATTTGCACTTAATAACTCAGAAAATAGGGAAACACAATTGAAACAAAAGGGGGGAAACCCGCGACCTGAAAAGAACCGTGGCTGTAACCTCTCCCTTACTTCCCTCGGGGCGACCAACGCGCGGCAGCGCGCTGTTTCCAGTCTTGAGCCAAATCAATCATGCATGACAATTTCATGCAAGGACACGCTACCGCACAGGAATCATCTGGGCCTTAAATGTCACCGCGTTGTCGATGTTTTACCGTGAGCAGGAAATGTGCTGATTCAAGCCGTGTAGTCACGTTGATGTCATGGCCGCAACGTAACGTTTGAGCTCGTCACAAAGTCAGAATGCATGTGTGGCGACTGCAAAACCACGGGCTAAGTCGCGAGGCGACTCACGCCAGCCTCCACAGGAAACCAACCAATGGCAGTGATGCGCATGCCTCGTCATGCCTGCCTTCAAAACGCTCGTCTGGGTCTTTGTTGCCATCTACAAACAAACATGAACCTCTGTTCGCGTTGTCCATCAGCGCAGAACCAACTGGCAAGGGTGACTAATCCTTAACCCGATTGATGTGGGTGTGGAAAACAGGGAGGAATAAAAAGTCAGTGTTTTACTTTTTGGCATCCCTTCAAACCAGGAAACGCCGCACAGCGAGTCGCCGCATTTTTTCTTAGCTTTGCGGACACTACATGACACATCCCGCTGGATTCCCCATGAACGAGCTTTCCATTCAAAATGCCGGTTGTGCAAATTGTCACTATGGGAAATCAAGCAGCCCCTGTCTTCGCACCTGCATCATCCTATGTCGATCGCCGGGATCAATTTCGGCCCATGGTTCACCACCAGCGCGAACAACTTCTTCAGCGCCGCCACCGATCCTCGGAATGCCCGGGCACGAAAGGCGCCGGGAAGATTTCGAGCGCGTTTGCAGTGTAAGGATGTGCGGATATATGTTTTTTCCTGTGCAGAGGGTGCATTCCGCAGCCAACCTTTTGCAAAAGCTGCGCTCCAAGCGAAGCTGCAAAGTCCAAGCATACCCAAACCAATGGTCTGCAGATGTCTGCAGATGTCTGAAATGTTTGCAAGCCTCAGGCAAGTCCCCTGAGCTTGCCCACCACCTGGTAGTAGACGGCCTTGGAGTACGCGTGGCCCTTCTGCTCGGCAAAAGCAATGTCGAAGTAGCCAGGCACTGGGGCACAAATGTCCTCGCAGATCAGATCTAGACTGTGGAAGCTTTCCCTTTCAATGGGGCGCTCCGCTTACGACCCACTTCGTACAACCCCACTTACCAGCCCCCTTGCACACTCCCCAGATTCCGCGCACCCTTGCAAGGCTCTCAAGAAGGCGCTCAAAAAAGCTACACCTCCTTGAAGGGGGGCCGGACCGTGTTCTTGGAACACTGCAACATCACCCGTGATCCAGTGCTCCAAAGAGACTAGACTCAAAACAAGGCGCAACTGCTACCAACCGCAATGGAATGTTAGATGTAGGGGTCAACCTGGCACATATCATCAACCAACATTTTTCACCAAGTAGCAACATTGCTTCCGCCCACCGATCACACAACCGTGATACACGCCAATGTGCTTTTGCTTGCCACATCTGGGGAATGCAATTTGTGACACAAAACATTGCAGAGCGGCAGTCAATGACCAAAACTGGAAGATGCGGGAATATCCGGAATAGTGTGCTTGTGCTGCCTGCTGTTTTCCACGCCGCGGGATCTGAATCGAAACCCCTCTCCCTCCGGCTTCCCCCATGCAAGGCTTTAATATCAGCTGACCACAGGCCCAGAAATCGAAGGGAAACGTTGTGGGGCAAAGACTAAAAACAGACCAGTCGATGAAGACTGAAAGGCGCTTCGTGCAACTTGTAGGAATACTTCAGGGCCGGAAGGAAATGTTGGGTTCGAAGCTCAATCTTGCCCTCCTTATCCAGGAGGGTCACTCCAGCGAAGTTGAAGCAGTGATGAAGTGTGGCAAAGAAGTCTGCGATAGTTCTGGCTTCGCCGGCAGCTTTTGGGAAGGATCGTACGCTTAGCGCCGCGGCCGTGCTGGGGGCTTCCGTATCTTTGGGTTTGGATCTCTGGGCAGCACCGCAGCGCGAAGCAGCTTCCAAGCGAAGCAAGGCCTCACGGCTAGCCTTCGTCAGCGTGAACGTAATCACCGTATCACCGTGGTTTGCCTTTGAACGCTTGTAGCGGTTAGCTCGCGCAGCACTGTCTCCGGCGGGTCAAGCATGTCAACTACGCCCAAGCATGTGCCGGCGCATTCTCTATCGTCCTCCTCCACGCGCAGAAGGTGGATGCGCTTGCAGCTGCCCGCCGGAAGCTCGGTTTTGACTTGCTTCGAGAACTATTCTTCCGGCTAGTTTCTGCAAACTTCCGCGGAAAGTGCTGAGCACCAACCCATTGGCATGCCAGAGCTGCGGCAGTACGCCAGGACCTGTGGCTGCTCCGCGCAATTCCCCCTGTAGTCTGCTGGGGCAGTGATATCCATGGGCTGCCCTTCGGATTTCGAGCGCTTGTCTTGGACAAGGTGCACAAGCGGCTTCTGCACCTGAAACCAAGCTTGGCACCTGCTCTGCCTGCCAGCTGTGAAGTTGGCTTCCTGACAAGCCAAGGCCAGCGAGTGCTGCGCGTAATTCCACTCATTCATGCCCTCAGTCTTGCCTGTCTGCTGAGCTGGAGATAAAAAAATCCATCTCAGCTTGCGCAGCCTGACAAAAAAGAAAGCAAAGGCTGGTGCAAGTCTTGCAGCCTCCTCATGCATGCATTTTCACCAGCTCGCGTCTCCTCTCGCCGGTGGCCTTGCGTGGAGTCGACCAATTTCCTGGCGTGAGGCAGTCTGTCGGAGCCCCCACACCAAAAGAGAGTTGATCTTCACGGGGGATGTCCCAGTCAAGGAGAGACAAATCATGGACGTCCGCCACATGGGCGTGCTCTCAAGTAGAATGTGGGCTTCTAAACATGGAGGGGGAGAACCCGCGCTACATCTTGCTACGGAGTTGGTGGAACGGGCTGCCAGCCGGGATAGTGTTGTCACGTGCTTTCGGGTTGTCATTCAAAGTTGTGCACGTGCAGTCTGCCCCAGGCAACCTTTGCCTGGGCTGCATCCGGCAAACCGCCAACGCTCCAACATCCCCCAACGAATCGATTCAAAGATTTGAAGGTTCCAGGGTACACCAAAGAGAAGCCGAGTCTTGGGTTCCGACCAAACACAAGTTTCCAGGGCGGCACCAACCTACTTAAAAATGTTGAAACATGTTGAAACCATGTGTGGCTCCGACCTCCTGTGAAGGCTCTTCCGAGAGAAAGGGGTAACATGGGTCAACGAAATTTGGGCCCAAATTGCCCCTGGTTCCCTCGAAAACAGGGCGGGCTACTCCAGGGTTATGGCGATTTTCGGCCACTGTACGTGTGGCGCATACGAGTACTTAGATGATTCATTCGCGGGCCAGACATGCTGATGAGCAGCAGGCTAAAGCAGCGGCAAGCAAGCGAGGGATGAGAGCATGAGGCATTCAAGTATGTTTTTTCCACTGAGAGCGTTTGTGAACATCATGTAGTAGAGGCGGTGGGGCTTTATGCCGAGCGACCATTTTGGAGGATGCCCATCAGAAAGGAGTGCCAAACGGCTCGGAAATGCTCGGAGGCACCACCCCTTGGGGGTTGTTCCATCAAACGCCTCCCCAACTGCCATCGAGTCTATCGAGTCTGCGAATCCGCGCCTTCCGACATGCGCGGTCGCACCGGTATTGCCGAGACATGCCGAGACTACTCTCACATTTCCAGTGCGAAATCTAGTATTGGCAGCCTTAGGAGGTGCCTGACTTGGGGGCGCCCCCGAAAAAGTCCAAAACACTGTGGACCTTTCAACGCCAATAAGCCGGCCCAGAAAATCTAAGCATATCTCCCCCCACTGCCCATTCCAAGTCTGAGCCCGCAGCCCCTCGCTTTGCCACTCGAGGGCGGCATGGCCCAGCGATGCCCGGCGAAAGCCAGGCGCTTGATGCTATGTCGCGCGAATCAGAAAGCACATGGTTGGATCTCGAGGTGGGCGCCCCACCGACACATCTCTTGGCTACGTCAGCAATTAGGGGCAGGGTACTTAGAGAGTGATTATGACCCGCGTGCCAAGGCTACCATCCCGGTCTGAAAAGCCTGTGGGGAAGCGGGCATGATGGGTGAGCCTGCCTGCCTTCACGCACTCGATACATGGAATTGGAAAATGGAATTCCATTTCTCACCACCCCCCCTCAAATTCCTTTAGTTAAGGGGTAGGGATCCTCCCGCGCTTCTTGATTGAGATACCACAAGGACCAATGGTTAAGTGTACGTTGCCAAGTGAACAAAGCTTCGAACCTCCGACCTTGCCTCTTGTGCTCGTCCACGATGATTTGCTGCAACGTGTAAGAGAGGCGAGCGAGCGCGCGGTCCTTTGCCACCGCGGGTGCCGCGGCTCGCACGGACTTCCATGCACGACCGTCAGACGGTCGGAGGAAAACACAGTTGACACAAAAGGGGGGAAACCCGGCGGGACCTTCAAAGGAGAACAGATTATTTCCCTAGGGGCGACCAACGCGCGGCAGCGCGCTGTTGTCAATCTTGAGCCAAAGCAATCATGCATGAAATGACAATTTCATGCAAGGACATGCTCTACCGCACAGTAACCCTCTGGGCCTTACATGTCATCGTGATTGTTGACTTAATAAGGCCTTAAGGGGATAAGAAGGATAGCCTTCCATGACCCCAAAGAGGAAAAACCATAGAAACACCCAGATAAGTCTGTCTCTTTTAACCCACCAAAGAAGGGGTACCCTCATATAGTAAAGACACCCAACCTTTGCTTTCGGTCAAAAACAGGTACCCAACATGGAACCCCAAAACGGGTGAAGGGTTTCTTTTTAGTAAGGGGTCAATCGATATTATGAGAAACCCCATACTGGATGGACGAAATCCATTTCGCACCACCTAAGAGGCCATGGTTCAAACCATGGCCTTCTTCCCGGTGGTTTCGCTGTAGAAGTGGAGTCCCCCGCAAAACAAGACACACCTATATCGCAAGATTGTTTTATTTATTTTGTTACAGCGATTGGAAGTGGTTGGTCCATCCGCGACTTTTGGGGAATCCATCATACGGTCAAATCTTGCTGGCTGACCGACATACCAATTGCTAATTTACTTTGTACTTAATCTGGTATCACAGCACCCCACAACCCCACCACAATTTATTTGGTGAACCAGAAGGGACCCACTTAAAGGAAACCCCAAGGGATGGTTCAGTGTGGGGTCATTCCCTCATTTCTCAGATCCAGAAATGAGAAAATATGATTCTCTAACGGCCACCGTTGAAGCACACAAAAAGGGCGCTCCCTGTTGCATCATCAGATTCATCTGAAAGGTAACGCGAGCACATGTGGGCAACACAAATTCTTTGGGGTTGGCGGGCCTCACAAAACCCTTAAGTTAGACCGTCGGATTCCCAAGGGAGCCTGCTGGCCACAAGGCAGCTTTGACGCCCTAAACAAATGCTAGGTGTCCTTAGTGATGACCAACTTTGGAGACTGAAGCAGAAGCAGAAGCATTTGTCAACTCTCGTTTTTTGAATGGACCGCGTTCTCCACTTTCATCAAACGCCAAGTGCCCGAGGCCTCCCGTCAGAGAGGAAAGATGTGGTTGCCACCCTGTGTGTGAGGCTTGATTTCTCAGGGCGGGCAGCCAACCCTTCTTTGGCCAAAAGCAAAAGCCCGTACCCCCAGTGAACATCCGATTCGATCCCAACGAAAAAAGGCTCCAAAATGGGTGGTGAATTCACCGAAAACCCCAAAAATGGGATCCCAAAACGGTTTTGACAACAACAGCCATTTGGCTAGGGGGTCCCCTCCAATGGGCGCTCAACACACCCATGATCAATTGATGGCACATTAATACACCCCCTCTGGCTCTCTGATTAAAGACGCCCGGCTGTCCCAGCCGACTGCCAGCCAATACTACTTCAAGGTTTGGCCCAAAGATGCCCCTCTTGAGTTTTTTTGGGGCACCTCCCACAACCTCCTCTGATTAAAGACGCCCCTTTCCAGCACAAACAATCAAATTTTAAATTACTGAAGCTAATACTTTTGCCAACATTGACTTCTTGTTACTCCCTTTATAGCCTCAAGGGTTGCCATTCCAGCAAAACAGAACTAGCCGGAAATAGTCAATGTCTTATCACAATTAGTGTTAACAACAAACAAGCTTTGACAAGCTCGGCTAGCCCCCCTCCCTCCCCCGAATAGCCCGAAACCCCATCTGACTGACTTTTCTTTCCTATTGCGGTTCTATTGGACAGCCGAGGTCCAGGAAAGGACCAGAGAGGACTGGCCAGGTCCAGATTGATCTGGGTGAATTATATGTTTTCACCAACCTGAGATAAGGTGGCTGGGGGGCTCTTCCCCACATAAACCACCATTTGGGGTGAGGTTGTGTGAGGTTGTTACAATTCACCCAGATTAATGCGAGGGACCCCAAAGTCTGGTTTTCCCAAACCTTGTTGACCTTGAGGGGGGGTATGAGTCAGGTTGGCCCATTGTCTGGGTTCATCCGGATTGTTTGCACCGTTTGAGGGCTGTCCTTTTATTCCCTTAAACTTGATTAGACATTTTTCTAGCTTCAGCGGACCCTTCCACATCCTTGCAGCGGGCCAAGAGGTCCCTTTCACGGACTTCCGGGCATTTGGCTTTCATCATTTGCTTCCACAAACCTTCCGCGGTGCTTTTCACAAGATTTGCTTCCGCAAGTATTGGTGCGCAAAGGAAAGTCAGTTTAAGCAAGCAAGTCAGGAAAGTACCGTTCCGCCGCCATGCTTCCGCGGAGCTGCGAACCTTCCGCAAACCTTCTGCGAAACAGATCCCTTCCGCAAATCCTTCATGTGTAGCATGGCGCACATCCCTCTCCCTACTTTATTAGCTTGTGGGCAAAACAAACGCCGCTCATTTGTACAAGGATCACTCGGTTCCCCTTCAAAAGTTGCAATTGACTGATGAGTTCTGATGGAATTGCCACTTTTGGAGGTCCCACAAGAGAAATGAACGGGTCCGTGTGTGATTACCGGACAAACATTGACACTCTTGCAGCTTTGAACTACTCGTAATACACGCACCATTGCGATGATGGCGGATATCAGAGCCTGCAAGTCGAATACACGACAGCTATAAGCAACATTTTGATGCTGGAACATGTGTGGCGTGGGCTGCGTTGTGATTCAGCGCGCTTTGCATCTCACAAATGCCCTAACTGTTCAACATGACGCAGGCTTCGACCATGCCTGGAACATGTTGCAAGCTAGCATGTTGACAGGGTGCAAAGGCAATTTGGCTGCACGCGTTCAGAAACAGGACATGCTACTGTGATACAAGCGGCCAACTAAATGCTAACATTTTCCTCCTAAAGTACCCACGACCCTTTTCCGATTGCTTAGGCCCTGGTAGAAATTACTTGCACCTTGCCAAAGCGCCCTCTTGCAAGCTTGCATGAAACCCGGCCAACATTTGCTGAAAACGGAAACATCCGAGCTGCTGAACACTCGATGGCCCTTGGTCCAAAACGAAGACGGCCTTCTTGGTTCCTTTCGTTAATCAAAAGGGAAGCTATTTGACTAGGTCCTCCATTAAAGAGGTTAAAATAAGGGTACCCTTTTTTCTGTAGTCTCTTTTAGTAGGGGAACCCTCCCCCAAACAAAAAACGGCAAAAGGGCACCAAGCTGGGGGGACCTTAGTTGATCACACCCCAGCCAACTCATCGCCAACTCCGGCTTGAAACTGAGCAGCTTCTGCCAAGCAAAGTCGATGGGCTTGTGCTTCAAGATGTAGATTGTGACCTCGCGTCGCTCTCACTGGACCCTAAGAGCCGGGTGGAAGTAAGCGAGTGCGCAAGAAATACCTTGGCACTCGCTAGCGGGTGCGCAAAGGGTTTGCCAAATAATCCCTTCTTTGTTTGCTTGTGCCAAGAAACGAAAATCATCGGGAAAAGACAGAAGAACGCGCAAGGACTGCCTTTGCCGCCTTTTGTCTGGCTCGTTGCGCCTGCCATCTCCTCTGTTCCAGGTCAGTTCACTGCCAAAATCTGCCAAATTAAGTTCTTGAAACAAATCGGCTTGAAGCTGGGCTGCCCAGCTAATCAAAGTTTAACTCTTCGTGGGTCAAGTGGAAACTACCACTAAGCGAACTAAAAACCTAAAAAGCTAAGGGACCAAACGGCTGGGAGCCACCAAGGAATCAGGTTATAAACCAGACCATCGATCATCCTCCTTGTTTTGGCCAGGGGGCGACCACGAGGCTCACGCCGGCCTTGTGGCAACTGTAGCGAACCTTGGGCTCGCTTCAGGTATGGACTTCTTCTGGAACATCTGTTGATGTCGGCATTTCCAGTATCTCCCACCATGATTGAAAGTTCCCCAGTAAACAAGAAAAACAAACGTAGCGGCTTCAACATGGTGGTGTGGGTGTAATTGAGTTTCAATTAGCAACCCTCGTGGGGTCATTCATATGAGGATTGTTTCCGCCAACACCTTTTGCAGGCTGTTCCGATGTTAATTGTCGGCGCCATGTATATCCACCGGATGTTCCCCATTGAAGGAACAGTCAGCGGGCCGCGCGGAATGGTGCAACTTGGAGAATGGATGAAAGCCTTGCATGCAGGTGTAAAGAGGGACCACACGCATCTTTGGCTAGCTTCCAAACGCACCCCCGTAAAAAATAAAGGAAACAAAAAACGATTAAAACAGCCTAAAATTCGGCCCAAACTGGAGGTGTGTTCAGGCTTCTTGATTTGGGGGAGGGAGTACTACAAGTGTTATGATCAAAAATCAATGATTAGTTGTGGCTCCCGTTTTCCAAGATCTCCCGTATTGAATTCACACTCTCGCGGCGCCAGTCTGGCAGGAACCAGGGCTCGATCCAGGCTTTGTGTGGGTGTGTTGTTTTCCGTTTTGTGGATTCACACCCTACGGAAACAAGCCTCGGAACGCATCGTTTTGATGTGTTCTTTGTTCGGATTCTCGACAGCCTGAAATACAGAAAGTCAACCAAGCTGGAACCACCCAACCACGCAAACAACCAACCAATCAAGCAAGCCAGCCAGCCAGCCAGCCAGGCAAGCAAGCCAAGCAACGAAACACCCAAGCAAACAAGCAAACAGGCAACCAAGCAAGTGACTGACCAATCGATCAACCAACCGATCAAGGCGGATCCTGGTAGCGGTTGGATTCGCGGGCAGGAATTTTAATCCTCTGGTGGACATTATTTAGGTAGGGTTTTATGTCACCAACCACTTTCCCGGGAGTTCTATATTTAAATTCATGGCCATATCAAAATGCAACATCTCAAGGGCTGCCCAAACAGTTCTGACGGATTCCCTCTGACGGACACCCCGCCTTGCGCCTTGTCAAGGCTGTTCAATGCTGGGTTTACCCATAACTGTGCATAAACAGTTGGGCAATCATACTTAGTGTTCCTTCCCCCAAAAAAACAGAAAGGAAAGAACAAACACACCCGATGGATTGATTTCCCTGCCACCGCTCGAGAATTTGCTCAAGCGAATTCGATCCGCAATGACACAGTGAGCTGATCAGAAGTTCGCCGACGCGAAGCCAAGGGAAACCGCAGATGAATCAACCATTTCATATGGGGCTGGGGGTGGAACACCCCTCAAGAGGTCTGAACCCCGTGCATTTCACCCGAGAAGCACCCCCCTACCTCCATTTGCTTAAGACCCTGAGGAAAAAAGACAAACAAAAAATATTTCCAGTAGTGATAGATTTCCTGAAAAACCAACAGGGGAACATTAAAAAAAAAAAAAAAAAAAAAAACATCTTAAGAAAATGGAAGTCTATTCATAAATTGGGGTTTGTTTCCGAAAATCCGGGTCAACATTAGTGACCAGCTCTGACACCCCCCCCTCTAGGAGACCTCAATGCAGCCGAGATGCGACCATATTCTGCGAGGTAGCCTCAGCGGTGCTCGTTCGCTCAACCGCCAAAACGAACCACATGGAGTACGCTCCCGACGAACGTGGAGGTCCATAGTGTCACAGACCCCCTGTAGAACGACTACTTTCCGCTTGGAAAGGGGGCTTTGTGCACTTCCATGTTGGTGGGAGGGTTTGCCCTACGTTGGACTTCCCAATGGCCAGCGGATTCCTAAACCATCCTATTCGGACGCGTGCAGAACGGCCAGTGTTCCGCAGATGTCCGCAACTCGCAGGACATGGTGGATCTGAAGATTGCTTACGGCAACATGTTGAAGGCACAGCGCTTTATCGTCGTTCAGCAAGGTTTGAAAAACACCGCCACATTGCTGTGCTCACTGCGCGGTCAACGTGATGTCCATGGGTGTCTCCTCAAAGAGAAGGACCCCTTTTTAGATGGTGTCACCGAGGAACCGGGGAGGAACCATCGCCCCAAAGGAGCTCTGACTGCAAGAAGCAATGATACAAACAGGCATGCGGCAAAATAGGAGGGGGACCAAAAATGTGCTGTTTTCTTTTGGTTTGCCTTTCTAACAAACGACACACACACACATCCATATGACAGCGACTAAGGACCGATTCTTGGATTCATTAGCCTTTGGTCCTAGGCCCAGACGAAAGATCGGTAGCTACGATTACCCTGGGGGCGAGCTACGTGTATCACAAATCAAAAAAAGGTGGGCTGATGGCTGGTTTCCGTTGGGTGTTCCAAAAAAAACACCCGTGGCCAATCGTTTTCCGTTCCCCCTTCCATTTTCCGGAGCTGGAAGGTGCGAATGGCCGTGGTCATTTCGCACAGCCCGAGAAAGAAACATCATGTGATGTATCTGTGGAATTGAACCACATACGCGCAAACTGCAAAACAAAAAGCACCTGGACAGAGCTTCCAATATGTAAGTACCTCAAAAAGTGAGCTTCCAATATGTACTGCCAAACACAGCATGAGCAGAGCTTCCAATACTAGGTCCTCCAGTAGAGAGGTTAGAATAAGGGTACCCTTTTTTCTGTAGTCTATTTTAGTAGGGGAACCCTCCCCCAAAAGAGAAACGGTAAAAGGGCACCTAGCTGGGGGACCTAGAATATGTACCTCAAAAAGTGATGCTTCAGCTGCCTCAAAAGGAGGCTTGTTCCCGCACTCTCGCCCCTGAGCCGCGCTGCTCGCAGCTGAGAGGGGTTCCTGAGATAGCGCGGCATCGATTCACGTCTCTCCAAGTCCTGGACAGTTGACCTCCAGTTGACCTCCACATTCAAAACGTGACCCTTAGGCGAGTTGAAAGGGAAACCCTCTCCAAAACATGCGACATTCCATCCATCCCTGCCCAGAGTCCGTGCCGCCAAGTCTGTTCCGTGCGGCTTTTTCGGCCAGGTTTTGGCGAGTTGTCCGGCTACACGTCTGTGTTTCCTCCAGATTTCTTTGTTTGGAGGCCCGGCATGGTTGCGGCATGCTCCACAGCAATTACTTTTGTCGGCGGCCACAGGCGTGTGAGGGCCGGGTTTGCAGTGGTTTTACCGGCGCCTTAATTCCTCATAGGCTGCGTTCAAGGACCAACATGCCACCCAGCCAGCTTTCAGCCAGCTTTTCTGGCCCAGGATCGCGAAACAGCACCTGCCATAAGGCTAGCCGGGAAGTGGCTATGACTGGGCGGGGGGGGGGGGCCTTTTCCGGGGCTTCCGAGGTCAGCTTCCGAGTGTCCAAAGACCAATCGTTCCATTGGAATCGCGGTTTTTGAGCCCGGGCGCTCGGTCCCCTCTCCCAGTTGTCTCGGGGTCCGAGTCGTTGCCGCTTTCTGACCCAAACCGGGGGAGCTGCGCATTTTTTCTAACCGGATGGGTGGCCCCAGAAATGCTCAGACCCCAATCTGACCAGATCTCGTGTCAGACCGACTGTCTCTCAGACCTGGAGCTACTTCATGGCCTTTAGGCCTCGAGAAAAAACGGAGCTTGCAACCCCCATCTGACTGGTGGGGAAGAAGAAGAAGAAGACACAAGCTAGGTCCTCCCGTAGAGAGGTTAGAATAAGGGTACCGTCTTGTTTTCTGTAGTCTATTTTACTAGGGGGGCCCTCCCCCGAAAAGAAGACTGTTGGGGGACCTAGAAGGCCATTGGAGACCCGCCGGACCGGACCATCTAAGACCATCTTGATTGACCAGCCGACTTTGATTGACCGCGGCTAGATGAATCAATCCGAAAGGCCAGATGCCTGCGTCTGCGTCACCTGCGTTGTGACCCCGAATCAGTTCTTGGGGCAACAGGTGCCTACGCCTCCTCAACTTCAGTGATCCAAGGCAGACCCGCGAGTCCCAAGTGAAGAAGTGACCCTTGCAGGAAGTGCGCATGCAGCCAGCAGCTTCGGCGATTTGTGCGGATACGTTTCGCACACGCTTGAATTGTTCCTTCTGCTTGAAGTTTCTCACACGGTCCTGCAGGCTATTGTATGCTAAAGTAGTTGCGGTTGCATATGCTTGCATGCTTGAATAGTGCATGTCCTCTGTTTTTGACTGAGCTGTGCCTGAGACTGCGGTTTCCTTCAAACAGCATTCAGCGGGAACTGTTCACTTTCGCTGGGACACCCTCCCAGGTTTACTTCTTCGCCGGATGGCTAAGGATTGCTAGGGTATGTCTCTTTTCCTGTTGCGGCAACGATTCAGGCGTTTGATGTTCGAACACCTTTCTGGCGAATGATCCGCGCAAGTAAGTGAGACCAGAGGCAATACCTGACCATCCACCCAGTCTCCCAAACCGAACTCAGGATGCTACTGGATTCGACATATATATTTTTCGCGAGGCCTCCGACGAGCTTTTTGGGTGTGGGAGGCTTCGTGAGTTCCCCCATGCCCCTCCCAAATAAAAAACACGCTCTCGGGCGGGTTCTGACTGGCGTTGGGGGTCCTTGGGCTTCACCAGAGATTTTTGTGTCTTTTCCTTCGAGGGTCATGTTGACCCAGGATTTTCATACACCCGTCCCACCTTTTGGGGGCGTGAAAACCCCTCAAAAGTGGTCTGAATCCCCATTCATCAACCAGGGGTTTATTCATCCGGGGTTAACATTACCTGTTTTTTTTGGGGGCGGTTTCACAGGACAACCCAAACAGACATCGTTTTGGGGCGTCCCGTAGTTTGTTTTGGGACCTCAGGTATTTGCGGAGATAAGTGGACGGTGCGAGCGCGCGGGGTGCCCCGCTTGACCCCCGACTAAAAGTGACGAACTTCTGGTGGGCAAAATGGAAACTGACGCTAAACCAACTGGACAAAAAATAGAAGCTAAGGAACCAAATGGCTGGGAGCCACTGCGAAACCACCTAGAAACCCGGTCTTCCTACTGTGGATGGACGAAATCCATTCCACTTGGAACCCATGGTTGAAACCACGGCGTTTGTTGGTATTACTCAGGGGAATCGGATCATTCCGCTGGGTTTCTGAGGTGGTGCGAAACGGCTGTGGTTGTCAAAACCGTTTTGGGATCCCATTTTGGTAGGTGAATTCACCACCCATCTTAGTCACTTTTCGTGGGGATTGAATCGGATGTTCACTGGGGCTACGATTTGGCTTCTGACACATGGCCAAATAACATTTCGCCACCACAGCATGGAACCTCCCTTGGTCTTCCAAGGACCCGCAAAACCAGGGTTCTTGATTTTGATCTTGGCTCCAAATGTCAATTCGGCCAAAGGCCTGCTTTTCCAGGGTGGAAGATCAAGGCTAGCAAGACCAATCCCACCGCGCCGAGCGTCGCCACCTTGCCCCGCGGACGGAAGAGATCCAGCGGCTGCATCACGTAGGCGCGCAGGATCTTGCGGTCAAACGACCTGATGGCAGTCTGCATGGGGTGCGGTATGTACATAGCCCTTGATCTTCCACCCTGGAAAAGCAGGCCTTTGGGCGAATTTACATTTGGAGCCAAGATCAAAATCAAGAACCCTGGTTTTGCGGGTCCTTGGAAGACCAAGGACTCAAGGACCCCTTCTACATACCCCTTGGACAAAAGAACCCAAAAGCCCTGCTGATGTTGATACCATATCCTCTCCCCAAAAGGGGTATATAAGTGGGGTGGAAACAGTCGGCACCGGTCGGCTACCCCCAAATTGGATGGAGCCCGGTTACGTCTGGTTCTGGTCTGTTTGGCGACCAAAAAACCACCGAATGGGGTTTCAGAAGGAACTGGGATTCAAGTCCCAAAGCAATCCAGACCACCAACTAAGTGAGGGGTAGCTGAACCAGGGCCACAAAAGCCTGCAAGAAAAGAAGTTAAGGGACGGCCCCTTTTGGGGGGAAATCCGGAACCAAATCGAAAGTATCGCCGTAATCATGGGCCTGTCTTTTATTGAGGGGACCCCCCCCAAGATGATCTTTCGGTTCTCCTTTTTGGCTTCCCTTTGAAACCAAGCCAAGAATCTAGGGATTGACTCCCCATTCTTTTCAACCATTTTCTGGAAAGAAGGATCCCTGGGTTCAGAATGGACATGAAAGGTACCCTAGAAAAAAAACCCTCCATTTGCTTAAGTCCCCTGGAAAAAATATATATATATTGGAAAACAACATAAACATATATTTCCAATAGTGATAGATTCCCATCAAAACCAACAGGGGAAAATAAGACAAGTTCTAAACCAAATGGAAGCTTCCCTTTGAAACCAGGCCAAGGGCGGGGCATACGCCAACTCCGAGGGCTCGGCAGATCCGGCTGGTGCTGCAGCGCTGGGGGCAGCATCTGCCCTGCAATCGATCAGGCCGGATGATAGGCCAAGGGTTGGGGGGTTGGGTTGGTTGGGTTGGTTGGGGTTGGTTGGGTTGGTTGGGTTGGTTGGGGTTGGGGGGTTGGGGGGTTGGGTTGGTTGGGGGGTTGGGTTGGTTGGGGGGTTGGGTTGGGGTTGGCACCCTGGACTTGCGGTTTTAGGCATCCCTTGCGGCGTATTTTGGGGTAGCCTGCAAAAAACCCATGACGTTTTGCCCTTCAACAATCAGGGTTCGCTAAGGGGGCGGGTTATTCACTGGATTAAGGGGAGGAGTTGGGTTGGCACCCTTGACATCGCGGTTTTGGGTTTTACCCCCCGATTTTTCAGAGGGAAGTAGCAACCAAAACTCTAGCTCTTGACTCCCGGCTCCTTTTCAACCCTCGACCTTCAGAAGAACACCGCTCTTCTCAAGGGCTTTCACAACCTAGGTCCTCCAGCAGAGGTTAGAATAAGGGCACCCTTTTTTATGTAGTCTATCTTAGTAGGGGAATCCTCCCCCAAAAATGGATGTAAAAAGGGCACTACTGAGGACCTAGCAACAAAGATCCCAGCGGGGGTTGAACTTCCCATGGAGCACCCCGTGAGCCACGAGGCGGCATCGCATGCGATTAGCCACTCGGCGCTGGCGGCTCCCAGTGAGTGAAAAGCCCCGGTAAAGGATACGCAACATCCGAGCAAAGCCGCAAGAGGCGGGGTTCTGAGTGCCGCTGGCTAGGAATGCCTATCTTTGAACAAAACAAGTCGAGCAGCGCCCATTCACTGTTTCCCCCAAACCCTTCACGTAGGCCTACCAAAAACCCCATGCAAGTACCATCTATGTCCAATAGGGCCTTTGGAGCCCGCGAAACCAAAAAACAAAAAGTGCGTTGCATATCTTGGTCCCCAATGGCTACGAGCTCCGGTGCCATTAGCGCTTCGGAAAGGGCCGCCAGGAGGTCGGCCGCGCGCCCGAGGACAGGTGGAGAGCGGGCGTTTCGACACCTTCTGACGGCACCTTCTTTGCCGAAAATGTGGGCTCTCCACAAAGGAACCCAAGCATCTCAAATTGAAGATCCGCAAATCCAGGCGCAAGCAGGCGCGCACACACAACACAGAACACACAGAGGAGCAGCTTTGGATCAACTCTCTCTCACCCAAGAACACCTTCAACGCACCACTGCAAAGAATTGCAGTGGGCAAGACCTCGGAATCTTGGGTAACATCTCAATGCAGCGTGCCGGGCAGATGCAGCATCAACCCGCAAGAAGAAGCGCAGCAGAACCGTGGCTACCCGCCCGGGTGGATCAGCGCAACCATGTAACTCCATTTTCTTAAGTCCCCTGGAAAAAATGAGATACTATGTCCAGTAGTGAAATCGATTCCCTTTAAAACCAACAGGGGAAATGAAAAACAAATCCTAACCAAATGGAAGTGTACAGAGAAGCATTTGCTCAAAAACTTTCGCTGTGCGAGCACTTCTCCCGAGCTCAGCCACACAGAGACCCAGCAATCAGCACCAGCAGAACACTTCACACACACACACAGCAACAGCAGCAACAGCAGCATTCCGCACCTTCAGGATCTGTTTTATATAACAAAAGCATATATGACTTAAAGCGTATTTGATGACATGGGTTGAGTCACGACACCCACCCTTGGGGTGCTGCGGCAACGCTCACTTTCACCCTCGACAAGAACAACTATTTGTATTTGTTTCGGCCTGTCTGTCCTCACTCTCACCTCACTTCCTGAGTGGACGGCCCAAACAAATCACAACTCTTTGTTTACACCCAAGTATGGTCCAGCTTTTTGTCTTCACCCACCCTGATCCCCAGCTTCCCAACGAGAAAAAAAAAAGGCCCGACACGGAGACAGCAATAAGCGAGTAAGGCGCCAGGCCGCCTTCGGCGGCCAGCTTCAGCTCCACGGTGGTCTTCCCGTCCTGGAAGCACCCGGCGCGTGCAGCGCGCCCGGCGCGTGCAGCGACGTGTCAAAAATGAGTTCGCCCATGGACAAAGAACACCTGCTTGGTCCAGTTCCTGAAGCTTTTTTTCTACCCATAGTTCTTGCAAAACCCTGGTTCTGACCCTCCCTCCAACCATCATGGAAGCTGACAGAAGGGTGCTGGAAGACTACGTTCCATATGGGGAAGCCCCCTGTCCACTTCCATGGTTGCTGGAGGGAGGGCAATAGGGGGGTGTCCCTGGGTGAAATTTGGGGAATCATCACTTTTGGAAAAGAACGCCCACCTACTGTGGATGGACAAAATCCTGCACCGCCTAACAAACCTTAGAATGATGACTCCCCTGTAAATACCAACAAACACTAGTTCATCATGGCTTCCAAGTGGTGCAGGATTTCGTCCATCCACAGAATGAATAAATGAAGTGTCTTCATCCGGGGCCAACATTATGCCCAAAAAAAAACGGATCGGTTGGTGGCAGCCGAAACCGGTTCCCCTTGTTACAACCAGTTTAGGGTCTTACCTTTTAGAGCCGAACGCCGCTTGCAACGAAAGACCACCCAAAACTAGTCCCACCGCCCACCGCGTCGCTTCTTCGAGGGGTCCCCTTTTGGTTGGGGATCCAACATCAGGGAATTCTTTTGCCCCAAGTCCCAACTGGGTGTCCTTCTCCGCTGATTCTTTTGAGAGGGAAGCGCGTCACTCTGCTTCACAAAAACAGCAAACAAAAAGACACGCCGGCTTCCGCGATCAGCTGGCGGACAACTTCGGGGAATCAAAAGAAGAGGTCCGAAATTTGGACTCGATCAGGCGAGCTCGAGATGTGTGTGAAGTTTAACCGGGGTTTCGCCAGCCATTGAGGAGGGTATTCCGATCATTAAAATTTCAATTTGTGCAAATCGGATCAAGTCTTCATTCCGCTCAACCCTAGGCTGTCAACCAACCAACGCAATCAAAACACCCGTTCAGAGAAGCGCGTCTGAGAAGGCGAACCAAATTTGCGCGAAGAGAAGCCGTTCAAATGGCCCTGGGCCAATCCTTCTCCACCACTCACATGCCCAGTGGCCAGGCGAAAAAAAAGGAGATCTTTTTTTTGGTTGGTTAAGTTTAAAGGGAACCCTTCCCAAAAAAAAGAGGAAAAAAGGGCACCACTGGGCAACTGGGACCAACTGGGCAACTGGGACCAGCTCGCCTTTGAACACTCCAAACTCAGTCCTGTATTTCCGCGCCTTTGGCGATTCTCCAAAAATGCGCAAAGAGAATGGCGAGTCGCCCCTGGAATATGAGCTAGTTCCCATGTCGCATGTAAGGACCACCGGACCAGGCTCCAATCGCCTGGAAGTTTGTGCGAATGGCCTCAGGAGTCTCGCCGTCTCGCCGTCTCGCCAGCTGAAGCTGGCGCTTCTGCCCCCAAGACAAGGGCAAAGGACCAAATGGCCGTGGCTCAGAAAACCGGAATTCCAAAATGGGTTGCCCTGGTAAGTGGAAACATGGACCAAAACCTGCCATTTGTCCCTCCTTAATTTTGAGCCACAGCCAAATAGGTCTTCCAAGGGCGGCTGTCTCAACGGATAGGGTACTCTTTGGGGATTCCAAGGGTTCAAAAGTAGAGACTCCGATTCGGAATTCCATGTTCAAAAGTCCCTGGAAAAAATGAGATACTATGTCCAGTAGTGAAATCGATTGAATATATTCGTTCAGCAATTGGAAGGATTTGTTTTGCTTCCTCCTGGTGGCTCCATGACTGGTTGTTGGTTTCCATAGACCGGTTCCAAACTCAGCTCCTGAGTGGCTATACCATTTGAGGCCCAGACTCAGTTGCCCAAAGGACCTGGGACTAACAGGTTCACCTTTTGGGGCCATGACCAATTATGGACCAAAACAGGACTAGGTCCTCCAGTAGAGAGGTTGGCATAAGGGTACCCTTTCTTTCTTCAGTCTATTTTAGTAATCGAAGCCTCCCCCAAAAAAGCAGTTGGTAAAGGTGCACCAATTGCTGGACCTAGAGGAAGGGGACCCACACCGGAAAACCCAAAGCTCCCAAGCTCCAAAGCTTCAGCGCGCGCGCTTCGGGCGCTTTCCTCAGATCGCCTCTCGCCCAAAACTCCTCCGTCCTTTGCCGGGATCTCCAGCGCCGGCTTCGCGGCCTCGCACCTCGGCACTTCCGAGGCGCGGCTTTCGGCTCGGAGCGCCCCGAAGCTGCGAACCCTCGGAGCTCGCTTCGGGATACGCCGCCAACCTGCCCAACCTGCCCTAACCAGCATCCACTAGTTGGAGGGTACCTGGAAGATCAATTCCCGCTGAAAGGGAGACAAACGGCATTTGTTGGTGGAAGATCAATTTCCTCCTCCCAACAGAGGGCATTTGTTGGAGGGTACCTGGAAGACGAATTTCATCTTTTTTGGGACCAGGTGCCACTTTAGGAGGTTGGGTACCTGTTTTAGAAGGGCCGGAATGAATCTTGAGATGGAAACCGCGTTTGGTTCAGATGAACCCCAAAGATCCGTCTGCTCAGACCGTTCCGACGAAGCTGACGGAGCCTTGGAAGTTGGAACCCTGACATGGAAGGCAAGGGACCCCCTATTAATCAACCAGGGGTTTATCAATCCGGGGTTAACATTATGTCTCAAAGTGGGGAAATCTCTGTGATGGTTTTCCTTTGGTGCTTCAACATCGTGCCCCAAGACCCATGCGTCTCCGAGCAAAATATCATGCTTCACCCTTTGCCATTCTTCCAGTTTGAGCCAACCAGCTCCCAATGGCAAATTGTGCTGCTGAAATTCGAAGTACTTCCAGTTCCCGGCGCTACCCAACGTGTTCACCACTAGCCACCATTCGCCTTGCCCCCGCCACGACCAACTACACGAATGAATAAACCAATACACCAATAGAAAAACAAAATCAACTAACACTCAAATCAAAACAACACGCCACACAACAAAACGCCCAACAAGCACACCACAAAACGCTCAACAAGCACACCACAAAACGCTGTACAACCAACCAACCAACTACGCAAGCAAGCAAGCAACCAAGTAAGCAACCAAGCAACCAACCAACCAACCAACCAACCAACCAACCAACCAAGCAAGCAAGCAAGCAAGCAAGCAACCAACCAACCAACCAACCAACCAAGCCCTCCAAAGAAACCCAACCCAACCTCTCCCCCCCCCTTTTTGCGCTCGCGACAGCATGCGGCCGGTTGAGCGGAGGCGCTCCGGGGTCAAAGGCCTGGTGCCGTCCACAGCACCTATGGCCGGCGTCCCCTAATGGGGAACTGAAAAGGCAGGTCCCAACAAAGAAACAACCTATTTTTCCTATACCCTCCTATTTTCCTTAGACGTCCAAGGGTAACTTTTTAACATATGAGCTCCTTTGAAAACCTAATTTTCCCTTGTTATGTGTTCTTGGCTCTATGATTGGGGTATGTATCAAAGTGGGGAAATCTCCAATACTGTGGATGGTTGCGAAATCCATTTCGCACCACCCAAGAACCAGGGGAAACCATTCGAGCCGTGCCGAATACTCTTGTGTCAAAAGCGGCACTATGAACTTGCCTTCGCCAACCTTTCGCGATGCGTTCGCGACCCCACATTTTGCATGGCTTTCTTTGGCATTGCTTTCGCGGCGCTTTCGCGGCGGACTTTTGAAACACACCCTTTGGACTGCATGAGCTCAAAAGCTGCAGATTCCTTTTTACGATGGCCTTTCTGCACTTTCTGCAACGTGAGTTCCACAAACGGCAGTGCACTCCAAATGCAAGACTATGTAAAACAACTCGCGCTCATCATCAACATGCAGGCTTTCGCGAGGCTTTCGCAAGCTTTCGCGGCCTGCGTTTTGGCTTACATGGTGGGTCTATACGACGACCCCTTTCTACTTTGTATTGCCAGGGTTTATGGCGCTACTCATTTGTTGGCTTTTACATGGGAATCATCATCCCAGGGTTTCTTTTGCAGAAGGGGGCCGCCATGGGGGGTGGAGATCTGAATAGAGCATGTTGTTCACATAATTGCCCTAATATTTTGACTATATCCCCATTTTTCCTTATATGTTTTTGGGTATAAGGACAACATACATTCATATGAGCTCCTTTGAACACCCCCTATTTTTCCTTATACCCACGATATGACATGGTGACTTCCATGCAGGGCGGATTTGTGTTGTTGACATCCTTGCAAGAAGCAACACTTAACGGCAGCACAACTTCATATCAAACATTATTGCTGAAATATAGGATTGACTCTCAACCATGTTTGAAGGTCTCCCTTCAATCTCATGCCCAATTGACAGGGGATATGGAGGGGTTCGCGGGGTTGTGTTCGTGTTTTTTTTGTTTTCCTGAATTGGCCACTGGTGGAAACCATTCAAAGGCAGTCAACAAGATTGTTGGTGTGGCCGTTTTCGCTCCTAGGATTTTTGCAGGGATTTTGCCCGCACCCACTTTGCGCGGATATGCCAAAGTCCAACTTCTCTTTGCTTGCCCCTTTGGTCTTCCCAAAAGTAGAGGCTCAGTGAGCTACTACTTCCAGTTGTGACAAATGCCCTTGAAACCAGCAGGGGAAAATAAAATGGTTCATTTGGCAATGGGTCAAAATCCCGTACCCCCGGTGAACATCCCAATCCCCACTAAAATAGACTAACATGGGTGGTGCACCTACCCCCAAAATGGCACCATTGGTTTTGACCCACAGCCATTTCAGCAAATGGAAGTGAGTGTGAGAACCACCAGTTGTGACTCGAGCTGTTTCCCACCGGCTGCTCCGAACACTCAGCCAGCTCAGGATCCCAAGTGTGTTGAGACATGGTAACATTCAATCTGGGCGAGAAATCAGGGGGCCAGGTAAGGGACTTTAACCCCACAGCCGTTGTGGACTCACAAAGGCAGGGGCCAAACATCAAGGCTGTCCGTAGGGCCAACGATCCTGAAAATCATTGACACCAGTAGAGAGGTTAGAATCAGGGTACCGTCTTTTTTCTGTAGTCTATTTTAGTAATCGAAGCCTCCCCCAAGAAAGCAGTTGGTAAAAGTGCACCAATTGCTGGGGGACCTAGTGGTGGACCCTCCATGGGGCTCCTCCTGGTTTCTCAAAAAGGTACTCAAAACAGACCTCCCCAAACATCGCCGTGCATGGCCTCTGAAAAATGGGGAGCCTCTTTGGGCAGGAGAGGAGAGAGCATGCTGCAGATCTACAACATGTACCAACCATTCTGTCTACTTGAAAATGCCTGATCACACAATCCACCCAGTGCCCAGCAGAACTAGAAGCACAACATCTCCGATAGATCACCAGATCAGGTTGTGTGACAGAAGTCGTGACAGCATGGCCTTCGGCCTTGGGGGGGACGCCCCTTTGGTGATCTCTTCCCAGAAACGGGACTGGGGTGTTTTTTTCTTTGCAACCACCAGTCGCTCACTCACTTACTTGCCGGCTTCGTCTGTGAGAAAAAAAAAAAGAGAATCCAAAATGAGGAATTTCAAAATAAACACGGCTGGTATAAATTCAATTAAAAACACACCGGTTCCCCCATGACTCCATCAAGAGGAAGCCTCATCTAAAAGCGGCTCAAAAGGAGCAACCTCGGAGGAAGGGAAACTTTCTGGAAAAACTCGAAACCCGCCGAAAAGCTCGCTGACGTTGGAGGCCCGCCTCCAAAAAACCTCGGAACACCTTGGAGGACAGTCGCAAGTCGGGCAAAAATCTTGGAGGTTGTATATCAACCCCCTTTGCTTTACTTGTGGGACCAACAAATTAAACATTCCCCGGTTTGGGCTTAAAAAGTGGACCCGCTTTTTTTTTGCCACCGCCCTTTGCTTTACTTCTGGGACCAAACACATCGAACCTTCCCCGCTCCAAGGCCGAGGGGCTTCCCGTCCTCTTGCGGCAATGCGCAAAGCCGGGAAGCGCGACACCCTGGGACACCGCCTGAACGGAGGACCGGGCAGGTTCTTAAGCCTAAACCGGGGAAGGTTTGATTTGTTTAAGTCCCAGAATCAAAAAGCAAAGGGGGTTGATATAACTAACCTCCAATATTTGCGTGACTTGCGACTGTACCCCCAACCTCTTGCGATGAACGTACACGTTGCCTTTGAAACTGCAGGATCCTTTTGTCGGAGGCCCCCCCTTTGGTCTCCCCTTCACCTTCCATGGGGTTCAGTTTGGGACAGACACAAACAGCGCCTGCAAAGCGGATGCCGTGGAAGCCCGCCGGCACGAGGCTGGTACTTGCCGTTCTGGGAATCCCCGCTTAGAAAACGAATACATCACGCAGGAAAGCTCGCTGTGCACTCTTCTTTTAAAGAAAAAAAGGCTATGAGAAGCTTCTTTTACGAGCCCTTTCTTGGTGAGTCTGAAAGGTAGGCACCCCATCCAAGTGATTCCCATTGAACCCATCCAAAAAAGGAGTTCACAATTCTCTTCATGCTGGACCGCGCACCGCAGCGGCCCATTGTGTTGTAGGGATTTGTGCCTTGCCAGGCTGCTTGGAAAGAGGTTTGCGTTGGGTGCCAGGAGCACTGGAGGGTGTTATGAGGGGCGTCATGTTGGGTTGAAGCAAGGACATTTAGGGAAGTTGGGTTCTTGCCTTGAAACCAGCAGTGATTTTCAGAAGGGGTGGGCAACCCCTGCACACCTGTCGACCACGCGCTAGTTTAAAGGAAAACCGCGAGGAACACCAAAAGGGAAGCCCACTCTTTTGGGGAAGTTTCCCTAGTCTGACACATGCTCCATTGGGGTAAAGAACCCCGTGGACAACCCTTGTAACCTTATACCCTGCGTATCAGCTAAGGGTGTTCTTCCGCTGCGTCGCTTTGGAACGCGCTTTGGCAACTCTAGCTCCACCGTCGCAACATGTCGCAACTGTTCAGTACAGTACGCAAAGAACTGTGTAGTATGCGAAGCACACTGTGGCGGCGCCGGCTTGAAAGTTGCTACTTTTCAGTACAAGTATAGTATACGAAGCACACAGAAACTGCATTTTGGCACGGCTACTGACAGTTGGCTATCGTTTGGGGCCCTGCAAATTTCTAAGTCCACACTTTTTGTTTGCGACAACGACTTGGAACTAATGTGTCTTCATCATGGCTTCTAAGGGCATCTTTGTTTCTCCTCAGCATCGGCTTGCATTGTTCCGGCATGCAAATAAAGTTAAGAGGGCGCGGGGCTCTTTCTGTGCTTTTTCGACCGAGGGCCCTGGTGGGCGCTCTACCCTTGTAGCTTCAATTGGCATTTGTTTGTGGCGGAACACATAAGTTCTCATAACAAGTCTTGAGCCCCGGGTGATAGTGGCTGAGGCGGGCAGCGCGAAGCCTATACAACAAGGGTTCATGACCCGCCCGTTCAAGCGACTAGGTGCTTTGGCACATATATTAGGTTCTGCAGTAGAGAGGTTAGAATAAGGGTACCTTTTTTCTGTAGTCTATTTTAGTAGCGGAACCCTCCCCCAAAAAAGGGTAAAAGGGCACTACTGGGGGACCAAGTATATGCTCGCAAGCTTGGTTGCACCCAATGTCACCCAGACCATGTCACCCAGACCATCAGACCGAACGAGTGGATCTTCGCTCCGATTCTTCACCATCTGCGGTCAGCTTTCATGCAACTCAGTTCCGCCTAAACCGTTCGCTTCTTGCCATCTTGCACTAAGCATATCCGCCATGATACTGTTTCTGGACTGAAGTGCTGGCATAACTAACGCAACTGTTGATGGGATTGGACTACACCAACCTCAGGTTCATTCTTTGGCCTCAAATTGAATAAGTTGGGCGTTTCAAGAGCCTCCCCACAATTTCTAGCTGCTCAGTACGCTCCGTTTTGACCACTGGAATAACCATAGACCTCAAGCCACGACCCCTGCTGAAATTTCCCAGCCCGCCCGAAGCGGATTCCATCTAAATCCCGCTGACTCCACGTGAGCCGGACAAAATGCAGATATGTCCAGCAGTGAAATCGTGTCCCTTTGAAACCAACAGAGGAAAATGACACATATTCGTCTCAGCAGATGGAAGATGTTCACATTCTCTTCAGGGATCCTTCTCTCCAAAAAGTGGGCGAAGGGTTTTGGGGGCAAACGAAGTGGTTCCGAATCTAAAACACCCAACAGTTGGGCCCGGCGGACTCGATCTCCGCCTGGGTCTTGGAGAGATTCATGTCCCCCTTCAGGAAGATGTCCAGGAACCTGCACAGAAAACCCGTGAGATGTCCATTTTAGATCTCCGGAACAAGCTGGGCTCCCGGTCCATTGGACCTCCGGAATCCCGTCCGTCTGAAAAAGAAGGAAAACAAAAACCACCCAGGGCCAAGGAAACCAAGCCGAAATGCCCGAAATGGCCGGTCAGTCCACGGCCGGACTCACCGGGGGCATTTCTGAAGGATCCCAAGAGACTCCTTCCGACAGCTGATTCACTCGGTTGCGAAATCTGCTCCCCTGCTAAAAGCTTAACGTTTAGTGGTTTAGTGGAAAGCCCATTAGTTGGCAAAAAGTTAACGTCCTAACAGCCAAGCAAAATGCACCAAAGTTCATCTCTCGAAATTCAAAATCAAGCGGCCCAGGGGGCGTTCCCCTCCGAGTTTGGTGTACGCTTGGAAAGGTACAGCCCTCACATCGAGGCATCGAAGCACCTGTCCCTCAATCAGTGGGCAAAAAGAGCATGGGCCCTGAGCAGGCGCATCAAGAAGCACGGCGCTGTCCAACCTGAACTTGGGTCGCCTATCACCTGCAATGTCTACAATATCACCACCTGACATGGAGATCCCAAGAGGACCTTCCTGGCGGCTTGGACACCGCTGAGCTTTCCTCACCCGTGGCAAACTCAACACCTTGACCACGCTGCTGCGCTCAGCGATAGTCAACTAAGCCAACTGATACTCTTCAAGTAGGACATTGTTTTTCCCTGGGCACGCGGTACATAAGCAGGGCAGCATTTGCTTTGATGCTTCATCTGGGATCTCGATGAATGTCTAACATTCTCTAACTACGGGCACTGGGGGACCTAGCACCTGGAACAAGGTGCCACGCCTATAGACCTCGTCATCCCCGCAGTGCTTGCGCCAATGCAGGTGCAGCACCTGACTGCGGATGGAAACGCGAAATCCGTTCGCAGCACCTAAGAAACCCACTGATTGTTGGTATTTACAGGGGAACCGTCATTCCAGGGTGTCTTAAGAGGTGCGAAATGGATTTCGTCCATGCACTGTATGTACTGCCCCCAAGATGGGTTTCGTAGGGTTCCGGCTGGGACTGCCCCTGACTAACCTTCATCTACCCGGGTTTGGATGGTGACTCATGTGGTGTACACATTCACCGGGAACGAGGTCCGGACATCCTGTGCTGTTCAGGACGAGTTTACATCCCGCGGAAGACACGGCAAAAATCAGAAGCGAGACAGTTGCCAGGACCTGTCTCTATCTCGACCTCAAGATCTGCACGAATAATCAATAATTTCCATACCATCACTAAACAAAACAGGATCAAAACCCATGATCCCACACGCATTTGTGGAAACGTCACCTGCACGACACAACCTCCTGGGTTAAAGTTTAAGCAGAATCTCCTGCAGGGCCGTCTGGTTACATGCTCCCACTATTCTAATGATAGCCCGAATATACTCTCCTGAACATATCCATACGGAACAACATGATGTCTTGCAAATGGCGGAGACAACATACTGCATTTGTAAGGCTATGCTATGCCATCGACTTCCAGTCGTGAGGACACGTCATCCCCCGCCCCCCCCCCGCCCCCGTTCACCTGGGTCAAGTCACCAAGAGGCAGGTTCCTATGGGGGACTCTCGGTGTTGAGCCCCCCATCTCCCCCGCTTGGTGTTTCACAAGCCAGGCTCCCCACCTTTCCAGATCCCGGTTGTGGGGTCAACACAAAGTAACGCATCATCTACTAGAACCCAAGCAGAACCCACGAAATCGGAAGGGGGCACCCCCTTTATAGAGATCATCCATGTGCTTAAGCCCCCAGGAAAAACATGAGGAAAAGACGTGCAGTGGTGAAATCGACCCTTTAACATCAACAGGGGGACAAGCAGATTCTTAAACAAATGGAAGTTGAAGCTATACATAACCCCTCATTCAATATGAACCCATAAGGTAAGTGGAAAAGCCAAAAGAAACAACAAGAAAAAAATAAGAAAACAAGAAATCGGGTCACCCCATAAAATATTCGTGGATTGTAAGGCATTTTGGTTTTCCGATGGTTTCCGTTTACTCCACATCGGGCTTCGCCAACTGGATCGCCTCCGGGGCGTGGCTTGTGGAGAGCACCGCGTGCTCCAGCGCCAGCTCCACGTCCTTGGAGGTGCGTTTCTTTTTGGTCTGGTCCTGCGATGTGGACCCAAACTAGGTCCTCCAGTGCAGAGGTTAGAATAAGGGTACCCACTTGAATTCTGCAGTCCATTTTAGTAGGTGCTTCTCCCTTTCGTTTAGTCCTGCGATGATGTTGTCCCATACTTTAAGGGTTGCTTCCCCATTCTGAACCCAGGGATCCTTCTTTCTAGAAAACCACCAGAATCCAAGGGGAAACAGCTGGTTATTGAAAAGAACGATGGTTGAAAAGAATCTAGGTCCTCCAATAGAGAGATTTGAATAAGGGTACCGTTTTTTGTTGCTGTGTTTTTCCCCTTTTTGTTAAGACGTCTATTTTAGGGGAACCCTCCTCCAAAAAAAGGGTGACCTAGCCCCATACTGTGGCCCATACTGTTCTAAGGGTTGCTTCCCTTTGAACAACCCCTCCATTTTTGAGGCGACCGGTACAGATTCTAGGGGTACCTTGCCCATTCTGAACCCAGGGATCCTTCTTTCCAACAAACAACCAAAAACCTTGGGGAGACAGCTGGTTTTTGAAAAGAACAATGGTTTTTCTCTGTAGTCTATTTTAGTAGGGGAACTCTCCCCCCAAGAAAGGGGTGAGAAAGGGCACTACTGGGGGACCTAGCCCCATACTGCGGATGTTTGCAAAATCCCCTTAGGCACCACCGTTCAGAGATGGTTCCCCTGTGAATACCCACAAACGATATGGTTTCAACCATGGTTTCCAAGTTGTCCATCCACTGTATTCATCAACCAACCAGTTTATGACGATTGGGGGGGTGGGGGCCTGATTCCCCACATTTGACCCAGGGATACCTTCCTTTTCATAAACTGGGTTGATTAGTTGAATATGGGGTTAACACTAGGCAAGGGTCCACTTGTCAGGATGTAGAAAACAGCAGGGGTCGATGGCTGTGGAAGATACAAAAACTAGTTGTTAAGTAACTTGCTGCCAAGAAAAGGCCATCCGACTGGTTTTTCTGGGGACACCCTGGTTCGTTCCCACATTCCCTACTTATCGCACCAGCAAGTAGTTCGGGAAACGAAAAGGAACATCTAGGCAGGCGGGGGGGTGGAGGTCGGTGAGGGGGGAGTTCCAGATGCTTTTGGGGTACCTCAAAGCTGAAAAATCAAAACCATGGCTGGTGTCTTTATTGGTTGGTTGCTTGGTGGTTGGCGGCTGGTTGTGGTTGATGGTTGGTTGTGGTTTCCAATCATGTTGACCCCGGATTAATAAACCCCGGATTCATATGGGGGGTGTCCCTGGTTTTAGTGGGGATTTATCACTTTGGGAGGGGAACACCCCCATATTTATAAACAGCGGATTATTAATCCGGGGTCAACATTTTTCCTTGAGCCGCCGTCAAACTGTGCCACTCCAAGAACTGCTCGCAAAGCTGAAAATCAACGCCAAAACGGTCAACTGAAAGATCCCAAAGCACGGTGAGCATGGGCACGCATCTCCCCCTTAGAGGACAGAACCAAACAAAAGTGGAAAACAAAAGCACCCCCAGGAATTTTCCACAATGCCTCAAAGACCGCCAAAAGCCCAGCTAATATCCGCAACAGCGCCGGACCTCCCTGGAACCCTGCGGAACCCTCCCTGAAAGCTGCCCCAAACCAGCGCCGAACGAGCGTATCTGGGAGACCAAATCAATAGCTTTCAGCAAGCAGGGGACACAAAATCCTCTAAAACCCGCACACATGGAAGGTGAATGTACCGCTTTGGAGCTGTCATAGGGTTTCCTCCACCCCTCCACAAAATGCGCCAGCGCCAGCTCTCTCCGACGCATCCGACGCATCCGACGCATCCGACGCATCCGACGCGCCATGCCGAGGCTCCGCGACGCCCTCCCCCAGGCAGCGGTAGACCACCGAGATCTCGGCCGTCTCTTCGGGGCTCACCTCGCCGGGAGAAGTTCACTACTTGCGTCACCTCCGATCGCAGTGGATCGGGCAAAAAAAAACGGGGTCTGAACATTTCTCTTATGTGCCACCAACAGAAGTTCTTCCGATCGTGGCGGATGAGCCACTGATTCTCGGTTGGATTCTTGGCTCCCCTGCTAAAAGTTTAGCTTGAGTGGTCCGTGGTTTTATGGAAAACCGCTCTACCTGGAGTCTCCTCCTGACCCTTGAAAAATTGTGGGTCATTACCCATAAAATTGAGGTCATACCCCCCTTTTTCTAGGGCTCATGGAGACTCTGGGTACTCACTTCCGATCGCAGTGGATTGGCCACTTGTTGGGGGGGGTTGTTCATACTTGGAGGGGTGTTTTCGCTTGTTTCGGGTTCTACTCACTTCCTGAGTTGCCAAACATGTCCGAGCGGTTCATTTACCACCAACATGGTCTTCCCAACAAGTTTCACGTCCAGGAACTCAGGAAGTGAGTCTACTTGGGGTGCTGCAACGACCCCTCTGCCAAAAAGGGGAATCCCCAGGTGGCTGCGCTTGTCAAAAATGGGGCAACCCCAGCCGTGGTCCCGGCTCAGATGCCCAGTGGCCATGGGAAAAAAATGAGCATCACTTTTTTGGTTGGTTGACTTCAAAGGAGAACCCTTCCCCCCAAAAAGAAAGGGAAAGAAGGGCGGCGGAATCCACTGGGCAACTGGGCCGGGAAAGGGAACCTGGGCCTAAAACTTGACCCATACCCCAATGGCGTCCTTCGGCTTTCCTTTAGACTCTAGACCAAGCAAAAACACTCGGGTATATGTATCACGCTCTGGCTTGCCGCTGGGTTGCTTTTAAACAAATAACCAACTTTCCGGAGAATACCCTCCCCCAGACGATTCATGGAAGCTCCCAGGACCCCGAAATGGAAGACGTGGTTCCATTCAGAGGCCAATGGAAGAGCTTGCGGCTGCTAGTCTGAGGGAGTGCAACGACGGAAAATCCAGCCTGCTTCAAGCAACGAGTTAAGGTCCAAAGATCGGTTACCCGGATGGCCATAAAGTCTAGGGGAATGTGGGTGGCTCGTCTTTTTTTGAGAGGTTCGCATAAAAAGTCAGATGCGTGGAAGTTGATAGTGGGGTAGGGGTCGATGCCTTAAATACTGCAAGCAAGCAAACCACAAGAAAGGCTTCCCATGTGCCCCATGCTGCGATGCTTGCGCGGTTGAGTATGGTTGCTAGGTCCTCCAGTAGAGGTTAGAATCAGGGTACCCGGTTTTGTTTAGGACGTTTATTTTAGTAGGGGAACCCTCCCCACCAAAAGAGGATGTAAAAGGGCACTAAGCTGGGGCAATCCCACCGCGCTAGGTTAGAGCATCGCCGGCCACGCCTCAATGGCCTCCGTCTCCATCAGCGGGCCCCGGATTTCGACCTCCCGATCTGTCGAGATGAGGTGTTTGGATCCGTTCGACGCCCCGAAAGGTACAGGAGGTGTTGGTCTCGAAGTGGGATGCTGGCACCATACCTTTGGAGCGGGGGAGGGGTTGGGGCTCACTTTTGTCGGAACCACATTGTGGGAAACACTCATCTTGACTTGGAGTGCCTCAATTTGAAGGTACGGTCTCCTACCGCTGACAATCCTCGCCAATCACAAGGCTTGCTTTTGGGCTGTCCCAAACCGGTGCTGGAACGATTCCCCAATAGTCTCTTACGTTGCGGGGTGGAGAAAACACAACAGGCGCCGACACTGACGGACGGGGCTCCCATACTTTCCCCATTAAACATCAGCCCAATTTTTTATCGGCCCAGACGGAGGGACGGGCGGAGGGAGGGAAAGGTGGAGTTTGCGGGCGGACGGATGTAGCGACCTGCAGGGCCCTATAACAAACGGAGCCCCATCGTCGGGCAGCCTCCGATACGCGTCATCGGCTCCTTGAGAGATAGACCGTACCATAGAAACTGTTGCCTTGGGAATTATCTCCTGTTCATCCCTTGCCTCGCCACCATCTTTTCACTCGTCAATATGACACGTTTTCCTGAAATCAACAAAATATGCTATGGCGCGCAGAGTCTTTAAAGAAGAGATCCCCAATGTCTTTCGTATCTTCCCCATTCTATTTCCGAAGCCCGTGCTGTGCCAAAGGGCACAAAAGCTGCCATGAGAAAAAAATGACTATGTCCTCCAGTAGAGAGGTTAGAATGAGGATACCCTTTTTCTGTAGTCTATTTTCGGGGAACCCTCCCACAAAAACAGATGGTAGAGAAGGGCACCACTGGGGGACCTAGGAATGGTGAACATAACAGAAAAGGCACCAGGTGCCAGCAGTGCGTCCACCATTCCCCCACTCCATAATTGGAACAAATGATGCTTCAAGCCAACAAATACAAACAAATAAATGACATGTTTATATCCTTTACCACATACCGTAAGCCCCATGAAACCAGGCACCATCTAGTTTGACCACAAACCGCCAGCCCACTCACGTGACATTCGGATGGGATGCATTCGGTTATGTGTCAAAATCGGGACATGGACCAGACCAATCGGCTTTCCTTTTGGCTTCACTGCAAACCAAGGTGAGAAGGATTTATGAGCCTCCAACCCCATGATAGCGTCATATGTTTTCAACAAAAGCGGTGAAACAGCATGCCCAAGGTGACCAAGGGCACTCACATGTTGCCATTCGCCTCTGGTTCAAACCTCTGGGCATCCCACAAAAAGCCAATTCACCCCCTGTGGGTGAATATCTAGCTTCATCCCCTAGACGTTTCACTCCCGCCGTGAACCCGTTGAACCCCTCCGCTCGCGCCTAGGTCCTCCAGTAGAGTGGTTAGAATCAGGGTACCAACTTTTTGCTGCGGTCCATTTTACTAGGGGAACCCCTCCCCCCAAAAAAGAAACTACTCCTCCCACAAAAACGAAACGGCAAGAAACGGTGGAGAAGGGCACCAATTGCTGGCGGACCTCGGCCCGCGAAATCGCACGCACACGCGCGCGAAAGTTTTCGCGAAAGGCCGCCTTGAGCATCTCGGAGCTCGAGGAGGCCCGGGGCATCTTCAGGCGCAGGGCGCCGCTGGCGCGGAGCTGCAGCTTCGTCACGTCCTCCAAGACGCCTCGAAAAACCCACCGAGCGACCCACGGGGGCGGAGAAAGGCGGCAACGGGGGCTGGCCGGGCGCGGCTTCTTCTTCTTCTTCTTTCCTTTTTTTCCCCGGCTCGGCGGTTTTGGCGCTTTTTTTTTGTTGGTCGTTCAATGCGCCCGAAATGCGGTGAAACTGCCCCAAAGGAGTGTGTGTTCTTGGCTTCCCTTCACACACACACACGCAGACACACGCACACACACACACACACAACGCTGATTTTGCGATACACACGTGGCAGGGGAGAGGTTTGAATTCAATTAATGAGAGGCTCTGAGGGCCCCGAAACTTGGACCCCGTGTGTGTGTGTGCGTACCCATGTAAGTGCGTGCGAGTGGGTGCGGGCATGTGCGCGCGTGCTGCACGCACGCGTGCGTGACAGGCGTTTGTTCCGGTGCGGCTATGGGAGCTTGCGTGTGTACGTGCCGTGGCGTGGCGTGGCGTGGCGTGACGCGCATGGCGCGTGGCACGTGGCGCGTGGCGCATGGCGCGTGGCGCGTGGCGCCTGGTTCACTGGGGGTACGGGATTTCGACCCATGGCCATATTTGTCCTAGGTGCCTGAGCAAAAGCAGCAGCTCATGAGGGCGCTTGTCAAAAGATGTGGCTGGCCAATCCAGTTTTGCACGGCCAATCCAGTTTGACAGGGCTCCTTAAAAGATACATGTTGCAACCATTTGAAACATGGGCTTTGTCCACCAAAATACCGGGAAGCCTCCATTTACAAGGCAATGTTCAGGTGTATAATGTAAGGATCCCTGTTATATCGACCTCACACGACCGAATTCACCCCAAATGGTGGTTTATGTGGGGAATATCCCCCCAACCACCTATTTCAGGTTGGGTTGGTGAAATATTATAATTCACCTAGACAAATCACGCGCACACAAACAAGCACAAACAGAGAAATACGCAAACGCACACACAAAGAAACGCAGAAACACACCGAAACACGAAAACACAGAAAGACAGAGACACAGAAACACACAGAAACAGACAAACACAAACACACAAACACACAAGCCCGCACACATACAAAACACACACACAGACACACAGACACAAACACACGAACGCACAACAGCACACACACACACACGCACAAACACATACCCAAAGACATACAACACACACACACACGCGCGCACACACACACACACGCACGCATAATACACGACACACACACACACACGCACGCACGCATGCACGCACGCACGCACACAGACAGACACAGACACAGACACAGACACAGACACAGACACAGACACAGACACAGACACAGACACAGACACACAAAAACATACACACACAAACACACACACACAAAACACACACAAACACACAAAAACACACCAAGACACACACACACACACACACGCAGACACACGCTCACACACCCACACACACCCACACACACACACACACACACACACCCACACACAAAAAAACACACACACAAACACACAAACACACAAACAAACAAACACACAAACACACAAACACACAAACACACAAGCACGCAAACACACAACACACAACACAACACACCAAACGTACAACACAAAACACAAAACATAAAACACAAAACACAAAACACAAAAACACAAAAGCACACAAAAAAACACACAAAACACACAAACACACAAACACAAAAACACACAAAAACAAAAACACACAAACACACAACCCCACAAAAACACAAAAACACACAATCACACAAACACACAACACACAACACACACCCACACACCCACACACCCACACACCCACACACCCACACACACACACACACAAAAAACAAAAACACCAAAACACACAACCACACAAAAACACACAAACACACAAACACGCAAACACGCAAACACACAAACACACAAACACACAAACACACAGCACACAACACACAACACACAACACACAACACATCAACACACAACACAACACACAACACACAACACATAACACACAACACAACACACAACACGCCACGCGCCACACGCCACGCGCCACACGCCACGCGCCACGCGCCACGCGGCACGCGGCACGCGCCATGCGCCACGCGCCACGCGCCACGCGCCACGCGCCGCGCGCCGCGCGCCACGCGCCAAGTCATCGGCCGGTTGCCGCTTCTGTTAGTTGGTCAGCTGTCATTTTGCATGCTCGCAGATATTGCAAGCCGCAACCACCCTTTCTTACAGAACGCCAGTTTGCACAATGGACAGCATCCCAATCCCCACTAAAATAGGTTCTAAAGTGGGTGGTGAATTCACCTACCAACCAAAATGGGATCCCAAAACGGTTTTGACCACCACAGCCAGATCGGAACACCCAGTGCCAGTGGCAAGTCCTTCCGGTCTCCCTGAACATCGCCCCGATCGGCGAGCCTTCCGGCGCGAGCAGGGGCGGCTTCGCGGCCGTCTCCGGCTCCGGGAGGATCTGCCACCTCGCGCCAGGGCCGGTGAGGTTTCCATTTGCGTTTGCGTCCCCTGGACAAAATGAGAAAATATATCCAGTAGTGAAATCGACTCCCTGTAAAACCATTTGCTTAAGTCCACTGAAAAAATATATACTTCCAGTAGTGAGGGATTTGCTTTTAAAAGCCAGCAGGGGAAAATAAAGCATGTTCTTAGGCAAATGGAAGTAGCCTGACATTGGCCCTTAGGACTCCCTTCCTGAGATAGCAACCAAAAAGCCATCAAACTTTTGGTTTACCACGTGAAAATGAGGAAGGGATCCTAAGCGATGGGCAGGTTGTCCGTTTCCCTTCTTCACAACGACTACTGGCAAAAGCAGGCATAACGGACAAGTTCGGAACCAGCTCACTGTCATCCCGACCCACATGCAGGGCAGATACATCAGCAATTCAGCAACCGGAAGTCATGCGGAAGACGTGCTTTTTGTGTTAAATTGAGACAAGCGCGATTGGTGGCGTGAGTCCCTCTTTATCCTCGGGCAGAAGGGCTGCGCAAAGAGGAATTGCTCCAGCGAAAGAAGCGACAGGCCGTGGCGCAAGAGCGGTACTGCTATTCCCAAACCCCGAACCCCCCCCCCCACAAAGAAAAGAAACATCAGCAAAAGAAGTAACTACTGAGGGGCAAAGCAACTAAGCAGCGGTTCGCCCATCATGACTCAAATTTGGGTGTCTCCAAACAGAGGAGGAAGCCCTAAAATCCCCGGGTTTCCTCGTGGCTTTGCCGGTTTACCCTGCCACTGCGAAAAGCTACCCGATCTTACGCTCCAGGGATCTTACGCTCCAGGGATCTTACGCTCCAGGGAGCTTACGCATCCCTCTCCTCAAGCTCCGTTCTTGGGGAGGTTGGGGCCCCCGGAAAAAAAAAGAGGGAAGACACACACACACACACACCAGGGGTTCCCCCCCAAAAATAGAACCCAAACAGGAAGACCACGGTGCCAGGCAAGCAGTTGGTAACTGGAGCCCGGTTTGTTGGATTCGAATCGAATCCCTTCTGGGTGAACGCGTTGCTCAGTGCTCCAACGAGGGAGGCTGAGCCACGTGCTCCGGCCCTGAGGACTGGCCGGTGCTCAAGGACTCTGATCCAGTCCCACCTGCTTTGGCCCCAAAAGTCTCCGAAGTTGTCTTCGGGTGAAATTCAAGGACCAGGGCTGTGGGGAATGGAATCCACTTCTGTGATACAACAGAAAGGGCTTCCCAAAGAAGATTTTGTGAATAGAAAGGGGGATTCCCTTGTATCACAGAAGTGGGGAGAAACCCCTTGATCCCACAACCCTGTCAAGGACACAACAACGCAAACCGACCTGAAAAAGCTCGAAAGCTAAGCTAAGTAACCGGATGGCCGGGAACCACCAAGTCCCATCGAACCAGCAAGACCAAAACAAACCAAATCCGCTAATGATCAGTAAGGAATGATCCAAATGAAACCAGAAGGGCCCCCCTAAAGAAAACCACCAGTTGGAGGGCTTTTCTCGGGCTTCTTCCTATTCATTCCTGCAGCCCCCTCAATTTTCCACTATTTGGGTGTTAACCAATCTCACCAACCAAACAAAATGAAAAACTCAAACACCTCAAACACCCTGAAAACAACCTCAATTAGAAAAGCTCCCTCAACACAAAACAAAATGCGGCTCCCTCCCAACCCTCAAAACACGTGTTTCAAACAAAAAACTCGCCCTCATGGTATACCTATCCTTCAAAAACAAAAACGGGGGGGAAATAAAACAAAAAAAGCAACAACAACAAAAAAACCTCCCCGGACCCCCCGCCAAACCCCACTGCTCCCCACTGCTCCCCACGGCTCCCCACGGAGGCTTGTTTTCCCTGGGGCGCCCGGGCTCGCCGTGGCGCACCTCCAGGCCCTCGAAGCCTTTGCCGCAGACCTTGCGCCAGGCCAGGCACACCTGCGCCGCGCGCCGCGCGCGCCGGTCGAGCCGCGCGCCGGTCGAGCTTTGGCAGGAGTCGAGCCGCAGGAGTCCAGTTGCGAGTCCCCCGAAGAAGTAGAACAAAAGATCCAACACCCAATTCTGGCTTTATGATTTTGCCAGGATCAAAGTCACCTAAGTGATGGGTTAAAGGGAAACCACCCCATTTTCTGACTTTGATAACCCGAGAAAGGGTCAACACAATCACCCCAGCAATAGCACGCAAGGAAAAAGGAAGCCAGCCAGCCGCTGGAGCTCTGGCCCTTCCTGCCTGGGCAGAGCTGCCTAAGTCGTCCGCCAGACGCAAGTGCAGCTGGACTAGCGCGCCACCTGGAGACGGAGAAGGCGGCCGCTCTCTCAAGCGCCCGTGGGCTTCTCTTTCTCGCTTGGTCCAGTGGAGAGATGAGAAACAGGGTACCCGACTTTTGTTGCTGCAGTCTAGTTTAGTAGCTTCTTTTTCGTGTCCTCCAGCAGAAATGGGTCTTTTGCCAGAAAGTACCACGTCCAACTCAGGGAGTTAACATCAACATCGACCCACACGAGAGGGGTTCAGAACCACCACTAGGTCCTCCAGCAGAGAGGTTAGAAAATGGGTGCCCGATGTTTTTTTCGCTCGTCTCTTCTATTAGGGGAACCCTCCCAACCAAAAAAGAAACGGTACAAGTTGGCACCTAGCTGGGGGACCCAAAACTTTCTTTTGGTCCACAAAACTGCGAAGTGTCCCAAACAAATGGCAGCGAAATGGTCAAACATAGGCTCCCTCCGTCATGGTATATGTTGATAACGTAGAGCAAGCGCAACCATGCGAGAAAGCAAGGGAGCGCCTTTTCCTAGAGGACTGCTCAAACTCATGGGCCTAAAGGCCGGTCGGGGATGACTTCCCACAGGCAAATGCTAACATATTCACACAGCTCCAAAATGGAACCAATTCTTTGTTGACTAAGCTTCACTTCTGCTTGTTGAACTTCCAGGGGATCTGGATATTGCCGCTCGCCATGAGTGCCCACCATTTCCGCGGACACATCCTCTTCGTGAGAACGTCGCTCATCTGCCATTCCGTCGGCACCCAATGGAGCGGCACCTTCATGGGGCGTGTCGGCGTTGGCTCCAGGCCAGGGTTCCTCAGCTCCCATTGCCGCTGTCCCTCCTGACGGAGGATCTGCCGAAGACCCGCCAGGTCGATGGCCAGTCGCTTTTCCGACGGTGCCTTTGGCGCACCCGCCCTGTGGATGTGGTCATACAGGGATCGGCAGTCGGTCATGAGGTGAAAGTCCATCACGCCCGACTTGGACTTCTGGAAACTGCTCCACAGGTCCCGTAGGAACAGCGCGTGCTCCGAAGCCTCGCAGCACGCCATGGTCTCACCCGCAAACGTGGACCGGCAGGTCCTCTTGCACACCTTGCTCATCCAAGTCAAGGGACTGGCTAGGCCTCCCTCCTTGTTCAAGACGTCCTTGTCCGCCATGAAGATCATGACTCCAAGCTGCGAGCCGGTCAGGAACTTTCCTTCCCATTCTTCATCACGTTCACCTTCCAGTTCCACGTTCCCCCAGGCCGCATCATGGTAGGCGATCAGGATCTCCCGGCCCGGTTGGATCTTCCGCAGGGTGATGCCTTCGCTCTGGAACTTTCCGGCCTGGGTCACCAAAGCGTTGGTCTCCTTGAGGTGCTTGATGCGGGGCGCGTTCTGATGACGTTGTGCTTCTGCCACCCCCATCTGAAGGTCAGGTCTGGATTGCAGCGCGAGCCAGCTGAGACTCCCCACCACCGTCCGGTTGTCTGCCTTCAGCTCGCCGTCCACCTCCTTTTCTTCATCCGCCTCCTTGTCAAAGTCCAACCTCTGAAGCCGCCCATCGATGTAGTCCTTCTGTGTGATGGTGATCGTGCTCTTCTCCATGTCCAGGTCGTAGTGACTCCCGACATAGTCAAAGTCCCCAAAGTTCCACTCGTCAATGGGGAACATCGCATCCAGCTTCTGGCGGATCGCCGCGTTGATGGCCTTTCGACCAGCCAGGAGCAAGTCGTCCACGTGGGACAGCATCAGAGCCCGGACCTCTCCCTCCAGGGTCCGGAATTCGAAGACACAGGGGTCGATGAGGTTGTGCTTCACCACCAGCGTCTCCCCCTCCACCTCCAACTTCAAGTTCGTGACGTCCTTCGAGAGCTTCTCCCACCAAAGCCTTGGACTCGTAGAGAGGCCGAACACTCCCTTTTCAATGGAGACGAGCTGATGGGGTTCCAGACCTGGAATCCCCCTCTTCGGCTGGCGGAAGTAGAGATTGCGACCCGCCGGGATGCCGTTCAAGAAAGCAGCCTGCACGTCCGCGGTGCAGACCTCCCAGTCCTCGTTGAGTGACTTCTGCAATGTCAGCATGAGGCTGGTCCTCGTAGCAGTCGGGGCGTCACATTGCATCTCCACCTTCCCGATGTCCGGGTCCATGTGTCCACCGACGCAGAGACGCGCCTTCGGCTTACAAGGAATTCCCGCATCCGGCGCGGCCTTCCTTTTGCTATAGTTCTTGTCCCGGTAGGCGAAGCGGCAGTTCAGGATCCGGTCGTTCGCCACATTCTCCCGGACCCATTTGGACTCCGCGATCGAGAGCGGTCGCACGGCCTCGAATTTCAAGTGCTCCTGCCACTGCTTCACCTCTGCCTCCACGTAGAGGTGCTTCTCCTCCTCGGGAATGCGCTCCCAGGGGAGCTCCTTCTCCAAAGCCTTGTCCTTGGACTTCTCGCTGCTGCCTCGTTTAACCATCATCACTTCTTGCACGGCAGACTTACTTGCAGAAGAAGCCCGTCCAGAACCTTTTGCTGAGGAGGATCGCCGGATCTTCTGCATTCGCTGAGGCACATCGTCCAGACTCCTCCTCCGCCTTGTGAAACTCCGCAGCTGGTCCGCGATCTCGCCCGCCTTCTGGACCCTCTCATCCATCACCGTGTCCTCGTTCATCGGGTTCACTTCTTCCGCCTCGAGCTGAATCTGCTCGCCGGTTTCCACGTCGACCCCCTGCGCCTCGATGAATTCCTGCAGGTCTTGATTCCGCATCACCGCATCCACCTCGGCCAGGGATGTCTTCAGACGGAACAGGGCGTTGACCTCCTCGTGATCAGCTGGTCGAAGATGCTCTCGGGCGCAGAGCAAGCACCGGCCGCCCTGACTGAGCCAGACGTTGTTCCCCTCAAAGCCTATCACCGAGCAAGGGCCTAACCAGCGTCCAACCGCCTTGGTGCTCTTTGGGGCTCGGTACTCCCGGTAGTAGTACGCCAGGTCCCCCAGCGCGAACTCATGCTTCTGAACCCGTGGTCGCCGTAGTAACGCTCGCCGGGTGCTGTCCTTCGACTGGATCTTGAAAAAGGAGGCCTTGGCCCCCATCCGGATGGCATTGATCCGCGACATCTTAGCGTCCTTGGTCACCTTGAGGGTCTCGAAGGAGTCCGGCTCCTCCATGATGTCCCCCACCTCCCGAGGCATTGAACCGAAGACCCATTGCCGAGGAGCGTAACCATCTCGATTCCGCAAGCAGTTCTTAGCATCGTTCACCGCAGTGATGCCAAGAGGCACCTCACTCGGCAGGATCACCTCGTGCTTGCAGGTCTTCTCCCAGATGGCTTTCCAGCTTGCGTTGTGCCGCTCCACCAGTCCTCCTTGCCAATGTGCCTGAGCAGCGATGCTCCGGATATGCACACCTGTGTCGCCGACCATGCTGAGGAACTGGTCCTTGAACCCGCTGTCCAGATCGATGAGGATGAACCGGGGGTGACCCGCCCAGGAGGCCCAGTACATGTGGTAGGCCTGCGTGATGTCCGTTGAAGTTGTGCTCGGCAAGGGGCACACCACATGATAGGTGGATCCCATGTCCACCATGCTCAGCGCCTTCACCTTGTTCCCGGTAGAGTCGTCGAAGTGGATCACGTCCATCGCGAGCGCCTCTCCGAAATCCATCAGCGTAGCTGGTCGAGCTGGCCGTCGGGTTCCGGGCTTCGCACATCTGCTGCACGTCTGACACTTCAGGCACTTCGCAGCTCGGATGAGATGTTCATCCGCGTCCGAGTACTTCAACTGGCGGGCCAACTCGTCGTTGGGTGGGTGCCCGAGATTCTGGTGCAGCTTCTTGCAGATGGCCGCCCACTTGGCCGGGATCTGCTCACTGAAGGTGATGCCACGCGAGCCCTGCCATTCCTCATCTGGAACCAACTCGGTCTCATTGAGGTCCGGTCCGTCCTTCGGGATCCCGCCCCCGGTCTTGTCTACCGCAAAGGCCGTGTGCTCCCCGAGGTTCGCCATGGTCTTCAGGTAGGCCTTCAGGACACCGCGGGCGAACCGCCATGGGTAATGGGCTGTCGCCCCAGTCTCTGCACCCTGAATCCGTCGATGCTCGTGCCCACCGTCACATTGTCTCCCCAAGATCTTCTCGAAGGCGCCCGAGGTGGTCGTCAGTCTAATGGTTTTCCTCAGCCGCTCCTTCCCATCCAGGCTCATCATGCCGAAGCGACAAAGGTCCAGGTTGAACGTGTAGCTGCCCGGGTCCTCCACCCATTTCCTCACCAACGGTTCCTGCCACAGGGCGCTGCGGCTGGGATTCTCCATGATGGTATGACCACCACTCATCCTCTGTAACAGCATGACCTCATCGTAGAGCTCGAGGAACACCCGGTCTCGTTGACGTAGCCGTCGTAGTTCCTGGGGTGAGTGGTTGAGGTGGCTGAACCCGCAGAAGTTCGTGCAGGGAGGTGCTAGCCACACCAATCGTGGCCTCTTCTCCTTAATCAGCCGCAGTACCTCTGCCCGCCGTGTCGCCTGCCGAAGGTCCTGTCCATGGAGAAGATCCCAAGGAGGTAGCACCGCTAGACCAGCTGCCTCAAATGTTCGGGAGATTCTCCCTTTCCCAGCAAAGATCTCCAGTAGGTCGGGGCGCTCCTCATCCGCCTCAGGCGCCACCCGAGCTCCAGAACAGCAAGTCCAGAGGTCGTTGGCTGGCTCACCGACTACTTCCTGGGTGAGAGCAACCGCCGTCATGAAGCACATTGAAATCACGTTCTTCGTGGCGCGGGCCATGTTCTGCAACTTCTTCCGGGTAGTCGCCTTCATCTTGCGTCTGCGGACACCAGCCACCGCTCTCTGGAACTTCTCATCCGCAGAGAGCTGCCCGCAATCACTTGGCTCCTCCGCGTCATCTGCCTCCTCCGGTACTCCAGCTCCTTTAGCGTCTTGAGCGGCTTTAGCATCTCCAGCTCCTTTAGCGTCTTGAGCGGCTTTAGCATCTCCAGTCCCTTTAGCGCCTACTCCTTCTTGGTCGCCCGGTCCAGGTTGTTCTTGTCCCGCAGCGCCG